GCGACAATGAGTCAATAAATTTGCACCAAACTCCCTTTTTCTGCCTCAGTTTCCACCATAACTTAACTGTCAGAGCATCAATAATTCCTTGAAACCCAAGCCATTCTCCGAAATTGGATATGTAATCCGATCCCAAGACCTCCAATGCCGGCGACTTTCCTCACTAAGGCCACTCCACAAGAAACGCTAACATTTCCTTTCCATTTCACACAACATAGACTTTGGTGGTGGAATAGCTGAGAAAACATGTAATATAATTGACGATAGAACATGTCTTATGAGAATAAGCCATCCCTCCGGACTTAGAAGTTTATTTTTCCAACCCAACAACCTTGCATCCAGATTATCCAATAAGAACTGAAAAGTAGATGCTTTCCACCTTCCTTGATACAGTCAACAACCTAAGTATACAAATAGCAAAGTAACCCTTCTGTATCCCTAGAGGTCGGTTAATAATACCTACCCTTCTTGGACTACAATTTTCAGTCACCATAAAAGCACTCTTCTGCCGGTTAACCTTTTGACCCAAAGCTTGCTCATAAGTTTGGAGAAATGAATTCAAACCTTTCAGCGACCTTTTCAAACTCCTTGAGAAAATACTGAGATCATCAGCGAAAGCCAAATGTGAGACCATCATAGATCCCCTTGGAGTCCCATAGTTTGCAACTACACCATTAGTAACTAGATGATTGAATCTTCTAGTCATAGCTTCTGACACAATGAGGAATAAATATGGGGACAATGGATCCCCCTGTTTAATTCCCCTTGTAGATTGAAAAAATCCAACTAGACTGCCATTGATCATCACGGAGAACCAACTACTGTGAAGATTGGACATTATCCAGCCCACAAACAGATTTGGGAAGCCAAATTTTAACAAATCTTCTCTAGAAAATTCCATTTGACCCTATCGAAAGCTTTCATCATAACCAACTTTAAAATCATGTTGTTACCCTCTGGTTAGTGACCAAGGAACTGACACAAGTCTTGAGCATACATCACATTATCAACAATGTCCCTTCCTACCAGGAAAGCTGATTGCTCCTCTGAAATTATTCTTGGCAATATGATTTTCAGCCTCTCAGTTCAAATTTTTGTAAAAACCTTATTCAAAAAGGTGCAAAGGCTGATTGGCCTATAATCCGCAAAAGTGGTAACCGTTGCTTCTTAATTTGGAATCAAAGTTATCAAGGTGCTCGCAACAGATCTTGGCAAAGGAACACCCGCATAAAATCTTCGCAAGCATTTAAAAAATCATTGGAAATTACATCCCAACAGCTCCGGTAGAATGTCCCCCCCGAAGCCATCAACCCCCGGAGCCATCTCTGCACTGAGATTAAAAACCGTCTCCTTAACTTCATCAATACTAATAGCCCTCAAAGGAAGCGCGCTATCATCAGCACCCAATATTGAAGGAACATGCTCTAGTAGTATATTTTGAGCTTCAATAACATTCTGGTCGACTTCATCATCTCGCAAAAGAGCCTGATAGAAACGGACAGCCTCTTGCTCTATGCTTGCTGGGTCCGAGAGCATTATACCATTCGCGGCCTGAATTTTAAAAAGACTTTGTCGTACCCTACGCTCTTTAAGAGAAGCATGAAAAAAAGCAGTGTTATCATCACCTTCTTTCAACCATTTAATTTCATTTTTTGATCCCAAAAATCCTCACGTTCCTTCAACCTTTGAAGTAGGTTGGCCTTTGCATATATATATATATATATATATATATATATATATATATATATATAGTTGCTCTCAATTTCTCAGATTGCATTTGATATACTCGTGAAATTGTTACATACGTGCCTAACACAATTATGAGGTACCTCCATTCTACGGTAAGCCTAACAAAAAGTTGTATGACATGATGATTTTGCCATATCATATCATACTATTAACAAGACTATAAAATGATTACTACTAAAGCAAAAATATAGACAAAAATATTTCGGAATATGATGATAACGACAGTCAATACGAAAAGATCTTAAGTCATTCATATAATAACATGTATAGCATATTCTACAAAATGTTATACTGGTATTTAATATTGTATGTGGTACTGAATGTGACCCAGTAACTGAAGAAGTGAAGGAAGTGAATTGGAACACAAACTAATTGTTAGAAAGTTGGTTTATCTCTCACATGAAGATGCTACTTTGTGGAGAGTCATCCTTATGCTTTGGCTACAAGAAATGAGATTAGGAGAAAGAGGAGTGGAAGTGTTGCCCGTGTTGTTTCAAATAGGGATAAGACAACATTCACCTCTTCATCACTTGTGAATGTCCCAAGCAATCTGTAGTTTGGCTTACACAACATTTGGTTTAGCTCTATATTACACAAGTGTGTTTTTTTTTATTGGTTTCTTTAATAGATTCATACAAGTTTTTCAGCAAGGGGAACCGATTTATTAATGCTCATATGCTGGAGAATTTGGAGGGAAAAAAAATGACAAGATTTGGAGAAATCAAAGCAATGATCCAACCATATCATGCCAACTTATTCAAAAAAAGTTACACTTCATAGCAATATAATACATCTAAAAATGACTAGATCTTCTAATGCGATAGTTTGTCTGGCCTTAAAAAGTAATAGCCAATTAGGTGATTTTTTTTCTAAAATTAAGAAGAAATTACATTGATAACACAAGTACACGTAATAAATAGTAGGATTGAACCTTAATCTCCCGGCAGAGCTTAGAGATTAAACCGTTAGGACACGGTGCAAATCCTACAGATATATAAGTACAATAATGCCAAATGACACACTATTAGTCTAAATGGCTAATTCCCTAGCACTTTCCTTTTCAATACATTTCACAAAGAGTGGTAATACGTACAAGGAAAAATTGACAAGAAAATTGATAGGAAATGCGGTAGTTGAATCTTAATTATCCCCTAACCCTTAAATAGGTAAACCCATAAAGGAAAGTTATAAGTATGTACAACCGGTTATTGACATATTCCCTATAGAATTTTTCTGTGAAATTGTTCTACATCAATCATTACCCTTTCAAAAATTGGATGATTCAATGGACTCAATTGTTATTTTTGATGGTTCCTATTTATCCCAACAAATAAAGCAGCAAGAGTGTGAAAAATCATATCCCTATATGGTATGGTCTGAAAATAAAGTTAGCTAATGTTTAGACGCTCACACCTCTCCAAACGGAGGCGATGACATATTTGTTGGCATTCCACGTTGCCACGAAGTATCTAGGTTAGGATTAACTCGATTAAACGTTTACATGGACTATGAGGCCTGAAACCTGTGTCGAGCTACGCCAGTCCACACGGAAGCTCAAGAAGTAATCTCTTTATTAATTTACTTTTTCTCTACTTTTGAGTCTTACTAACTGATTGAATTAGTAGACATAATGTTTCAGAGTTACAGAATATTGTGTATAACAAAAGGAAGTGTACCAGTATTGGTATTTTAACTAATATATCTACATGTACAGTTTTTTTAAAAAAAGGAAAATAACTTTACTCCAAAAACTTTCTTTATGTTTGTCAAAAAAAAAAAATTTCTTTATGTATTTATAAAGATATCACATCACTCGTTAATGTATATGGTTAGTCATTTTTTTGATAGTTTTTTTAGTGATAATAATGTTAAAAATAACATTGAAAATGAAAAAAAAAATGTGTTGTAAATTCAAAAAAAAAAAGTTATTTTTGTTTTTCAAGATAGAATACAAAACAGAGTGGAAGAATCTATTTTAATATAGTATCGTCTTATTCCAACCAATATTTCTAACAAATCCAATCAACCAACCACAATGACATCATGGTATTCTAACCATTTCATTTAGTCTAGGTTTGTTTAGTATCTTCAAAAATGAAAATATAGTACTCTCTCTTTCCTAAAATTATTAAATAGTTTAAATTTTTACTTTTGATTTGCTTTTTATTAGAAATGAAAACTGAAACTGGACAATAATTTCGGGATTGAGAGAGTTTTTTTTTCCCACTTTTCAAAGTAATTTGTTTTTCATTTTCATATTTGGAACACATGTTTTTATATTCTTCATGAATTATTCATATAAAATATCATACAATCTACATGAAACTTTACCCCTACGATCCCATTATCCCAACCAAACCAGCTGAATTTTTTTGAGTCTCAATTATTATTAAAGGCCTAACTGAAGGAACTTAGGATTCTCAATCTCTCTCGAGTCTCGTGTTTCGAGCTCTTTCCTCTCTTTCTTTTTTTTACTATATCTTTTTTACTTACCAAAAAACTCTCATTTTTCTCTTTTCTCTGTTTTTTCTATAGTTACCAGTGATTTTGCCTTCCAGTTTCAGAATGTTCCATTTTTCTTTGTCCTTTACAATCTCTTCCGACTATCACTAAATTTAAGACATGTTTTTACCTCTGTAAGTGTAAACTTCCTTCATTGTCTCTGTTGTTTTCCTGTCTCCATTATGCCTGCAGAACCTTGAAATATTAAAATGGGTTCTTTCAGGACAAGTTACTACTAGTTTCTCTCCTTCGTTGTTGCCATCATGATGACCCCCAAGAAGCTTTTCTTCAAGTGGGCTCTTTTTAGTTTTTCCCATTTTGCTCGTGCTTCATATCAAAGTCATAGAAACGACAGTGCATGAAATTTAATTGGTTTGAACTGTAAAGTGACTTTTAACAATGGGGATGGCTTTGAGGCACTCCTGTTGGCTCTTCTTTTCGGAAGTCTGTCTTTATTGAAAGCTTTTTCCTTTGATTTGTGTGCGAAATATTGGATGTATAAAACTATGTGCAAATCTTTTGTCTTCTTCTTCTGGGTTCAGAATCTTGGAAAAAACATAATGGTGGCCTATTGCTGGAGCAGTAAATGCAGTTTGCTTGTTGGTCATTTTTCCTTTTCAGTTTTAGCACTTAATTGGTAAGATTTGATTCGAAAAGATCGCTGCTTTATGGGAAGCTTCGCTGGAATATAGCCTGCATTAAACTAGTATTTTTTTCATAGTTGTGGGTTGAAAGAAGAAGAAGAAGAAATGGGTTGTGTTGCATCAAGCATCGATAAGGAAGACAGGGTTAGAGCTTGTAAGGAGAGGAAAAGGATATTGAAGCATTTGTTGGTTGTTCGTAAACAATTTGCTGATTCCCAGTTAGCATATTTGAAAGCATTGAGAAATACTGGAGTGACACTTCGCCAATTCACTGAATCAGAGTCATTGGAGCTTGAAGATGCTGCATTAGGTCCTGCATTGCCTCCCTCTCCTCCTCCTCCCCTGCCTCCTTCGCCACCACCACCACCAAATTTCAGCCCTGATTTGAGGTCTCCTGTTCACAAAAACAGCCTAAGGCCATCTCCAGAGGAAATCATAGACATTGATGAGGATGGCTGTCCCACTCCACCCCCTCCAGTTTTGAGTACTTCATGGGAATACTGGGACCCTTTTGGTTCATCCTCAGTACTGTGTGATCCAAAGGGTAATAGGTTGGAGGAGGAGCAGTTTGAGGATGAGAATTGGGAGGAGGCTAATAGTGAATTTGTGGAAGAAGAAGAAGAACAGGTGGATGATGTTGCTGCAAATGATACTGTTAATACAAGTACAACTAGAATCCTTGAGAAAAAGCAAACCGTTGACATGGCGGATGATAGTTCCTCTGTGTTGAGCTGGCATACCAAAGACACTTCTGATTTGGCAATGGTGATTTGGAGTGGTAAGAAGACTTTGAGTGGTATAGTCAGGGATTTGGATGATTACTTTGTGAAAGCATCAGGTGGAGGCAAGGATGTAGCTGTTTTCTTAGATATCAGTGCCACAGACAATACTTTCTCGCAGAGTAGCCAAGATAACAAAAGTAACTTCTTTTTCTTTGGTGATTCTGATTACTAAAACTCGTTTCCCATCTTTCGTTCTTAGAATCTGTTTGAGGATTTTTATGAGAATAACAAATTCTAGAAACTGTTTTCGAATTTATGTGCGTTAAGGCATATCAAGTAAATGGTCGCAATCATGTTTTTGTTTGGTACTTAGAATTTCCTTGTTTATGGTCTGATCTGATTGCAGAGTAAACAAGCTTTTCATTGCATAAGAATCTCTTAAAATAGCAGCCATTACATATTTTCTTCACTATTCCATTGCCTTGGCAGCGTCTCCTCTGTCTAAAGTGATATATTGTGGTTAGGTAACAACAAAGAAGATTGATATCCTTCAGTTTGATTCTGCTTTTATGTTTTTTCTTTTTTTTTTTGGAGTGCATCACAGACAATAACAGCAGCGTCCATGATTTATATCAGTTCCTGTCTGTTATTTGAAACCTTACACTTCAATTGCTATGCTTTTGGAATACTTCTGCCTTCTTGGGTTATAATGCTTGTTTCATAATTGGGACAGGCTCTTTCTCTAGTTTCTTAAAAGGATCAAAGCGTACTACCCTTTTGCATTCTTTCATTCTTCCATTCCTTGAAAGATACGAGGTTATGTTTTTTTCTCTTATATGGAGTTTTGAATTTTGCTGACATGGTTTGCTTAAACCAACATTAACTATTGACCATCAGCTAATGAGTTAATTAAAGAAATCATAGTCCCTTAAAAGTTTTATGCTCTGACATCTCTGGCAAAAAATAGATATGCTGCTGCTCTTGTAGAAACTATCAAAACTCAGGATTACCCTTGTAGAGGTTTGTGCTTACTTAGTACTAAAAATTTTTCTAGTAAAACTGGTTATAGTTCTAGATTTGGCATCAGTTCTGTTATGAACAAAACTGATCTAACATTGTTGTATGGAATAGAATATGTGATACTGTAGCAAGCGTGGAAAAGATTGTTCAAGGACAAGCCTGATTGTCCCTTTCTTTTCTGTATATCCTTTGAGATGATACTTTACTTTTTGTTTAAAGTAATTTGATCTTTTCACTTCTCTACACAAACACAAACACATGGACGAGGCACACTCGAAAGTCTGGGTTCCTGCAATTCATTGTAGTTTATTGATGAGTCACGGCCCTTGTTGCATTTGTGGTAGTTTATCATGAGCAGGAAAAAAGAAGCATCTCCAGGGACCAACACATGCACAATTGCACATTGTTCTACTTTATTTCTATTTGGCCTGATGAGATTTGTGGCAATTTATCAATTCATTATTTTTAATTGAGCTTTGCTGACTTGATGGAGGTGTGTGATGAACAGGGAAAAGAAACAACTCTTCAAAGGTATTTAGTGCATTGACATGGAGTTGGTCATCAAAATCTCTTCACTCCACAAGGGAAGCGGTAGATGCTACTTGCGCCACTGAACCCTGTAAGCCAGGAGCGCATTGTCTTACTCTCACTAAACTCTACGATGCAGAGCAGAAGCTTTACAAGGAAGTGAAGGTGATTCATTGTTTGACACTTTGACTGTTAATGTATCCACCTTTTATCAGATAAAGGAACAAAGGGAAAATGGAACTTCAACTTATGTGGTTCAATGCAACTGTTACTGGTTTGAAATGGAAATTGGTATTGATCTCTTTGCTCTTTCCTCTTTTTCCTATTTTTATTGGGTCACTTCCAGCATGCAATTGTTGGTGTGGTTTGGTGCATAATCTATGTACATTTTTAACCTTTAGAGAAATTGCTGTTTAGTATCCCTTTTGAGTGTTAGGCATCAGAGCATTAGGCAAGTGTTATCTGATGTCTGGGCATTTTACTTTGGAGAAGCTTCCCCTCATTTTTTGAAATTCTCCCTTTTCAATGGTAAAGAGGAGAGTAATTGACTTATTCGAAACTGTTCATTATTTATTTATATATTTTGGCAGCAACTAAAACCTTTTTGTTTTCCAAAAGCATCTCGTAATCGCCTCAAACATGATGTCTTGTTTTTTTTCTTTTAAAGATAAAATAAAAATGCAGAAGTCAAGTTTTCATTGATGTACAAGCATGATGAAGATTATGCTCTCAAGTTAGCAAACAATAAAACCTTGATATACATACTAACAGTAAATTTATTGTGTTTTGATCTGGCTCCCTCAAATTAAAGGAAGCATATTGATTATGCCCCATCTTGCTACATTGTATTAATCAAAGCTTTTGTTGTAATCAGCCAAGTTGATATAAACTGTGGAGACTGTTTATGAACCATATTAAAAAGTAATGTGATGTTTGGACTCAATGAGTTCATTCCTTTCATAGGAAACTGGATAGGTGGCTGCTTGATTCTCACATCACTCCTGCTAGGTCATAGAGTACCAACAGAGTACAATTAATTTGTTACGTTTCTGTTAGCTCTATTACTGTGCCAGAAACCTATTTGCACTGGTTACTATTTCAAATACTAGCTAACTCCATTGGTGACAGAACCTCCTTAGATCTCATGTTATTTGAAGACTAGCCCAATTGCCCTCTGAATGACACGAGAGATGAGAATGTCCTTGTTTCCTGCTATACTGTAGTGTTTCACTTCATTCTTAATTTACTCTTATGTTGCAGAATATTCCTTGCAACTTGATCTGTGTGGATAATGTGGAATTTTTTATACTGCTAGAAGAATTTTCTTTCCTTTTTTCTTGGGTTTTCAGTTGCTCTTTATGCTTTGTCTGAAAGAAGACTGAACTTATAGGAGGAAGCATATACCAAGGCGGAGCAGGAACGGAAATTATCAATTCTGCAAAAGCTAGAGCAAGAAGATCATGATTGGACAAAGATTAATAAAACTCGCTCTGTGGTTGAAAGCTTGCAATCTGATATTCTTTCTCTTGAAGAATCAATTAAAAGAACTTGCTCAACCATATTAAAGCTAATAGAGGATGAGCTGCATCCTCAATTAATTGCACTGACTTCGGGGTAATGCAGAATTACCTAACTCTTCTCTTGTTTATTATTTTTTCCAATGTAAAGATTTTAGGGCAAACAAAATTTTCGCTGCTATCATTCTATGTGAAGAGGAACTATATTAAGTTTTCTGCTATCAAGTTCATGACTGTAGTGGACCATACTTATTTGCGGCATTCTTTTTAGTAGACTAAAATGAGAAATTCCTCTTTACCGTGATATTGAATGTTTGCCATTCAACTTGAAGTATGCGAGAAGAGGTTGCATCGGTATAAAGTTAACCTTTTTGCTGTTTCTTTTCAAAGATAATAAAGTGTCTATTTGGGTTTTGGGCCATGGCTTTTGGGGAACTGGAAAAGAGAAGTTTATGATTTGGAAGCATACAAATCCAAAAATCACCAATTATGATGTGATTATTAATCCAAAGTGTCATCAGTTAATTTACTTTTCAACACAAAGGCAATGACTTTCTACTATAAATGTTAAGCCACATCTATCCTGTTTTCTGCACTTATAAAGTGACTGGCTTATTTGATTTTAAGCTTCAGATGAACTTCCCTGGCAGGTTAAAGAGTATGTGGCGAAGAATGTACGAGTGTCATCAAGTTCAAAACCATATCGCTGAGCAGCTAAATCATCTTGTAAATCAGCAAAGTGCAGAACCTACTACTGAATATCATCGACACGCCGCATCCCAGCTTAAAACCGAGGTCACCTCCTGGCATACTAGCTTGTGCAAACTTATCAAATCTCAGAGGGAGTTTGTGAATACCTTTAGCAAGTGGATCCAGCTCACTGAATCATTAGTAGTTGGCCAAGGTAGTACTACCTCATCTGCAGTACATAAACTTTGTGAACAGTGGCTCCTCTCATTTGACAAGTTACCAGATAAGGTAGTGTTTATCTCTTTTTGGTTATTTGTTTCGCCAGTTTTCTCTATTACTTTTTTCTCCAGTGTACAGTCTTCTCATTGTTGGTGCAGAAAGGAATGTTTAAAAGCTCAGAATGTTAATTTATATATGTAACATGATGACTTAATGCATTCTTCTCTCTGCTGATTATATGCGAAGCAAAGTACATAGAAGACATATAGACTGCAAGTTTGAATTGATGAGAGATGTAACTTGAGACAAAGGGGAGGAAATAGATGAGCTGTCGCTTCTATCATTTCCAATGCCTCAACTAGAAAAATCTTTCATTCAAAAATCTGAGGTATCCTAGTTTAAGGCCCTTGTCAGTTGGTACTCAGCTTTGAATAATAGTTTGATTTCCACATTCCTGGTCTTCTCCCCCCTCCTCATATCTGACTGCTTTTAATAGTACGTGTGGTGCAGAAGGGCACCCAATGATGCATATTTACAATCACTGGATGGTCGCAACTATAAACCTGATCTGATGCAGTTACCATTAATGAGATTCAAATCTGCATTCTTGTCATTATTAAGTGTTAACACTGCTTGTGGCCTAGTCAAATGGTAGAACTTGGTTCCGAAGGAAGGAAGGTTATTTCAAGGAAACGGTCAAATATAAAAAGAACAAGGCTTTAACCTGAAACTGAACCATTGTTTGTCCTTTCATGAGTTTTTGTTTGTTATTATTAATTTAAAGTGCTGATAAATGCTCCTTCAAAAATCAGTAGTATTATCTTTCTTCAGTTTCCTTCACCATTGCCAATATTACAGATTTAATCTATGCATATTAGTAGTTCTACTAAAACTCACTGAAGAGGATACTAATTTTGCTTTTGTCATAGAGATAAAAAATTGTACATCCCATATAGATTTCTCTGTGTGCGACAACTTTTCAATGTGTTGAACCAGTTGGTTTTCTGTGCAGATGGCACTTGAAGCAATTAATAGCCTATTGTCTGCTGTTCAATCCATCATCGCGCAACAGGAAGAAGAAGTGCACATGTATAAAAGGTCTAATAAACTTGAGAGGAGGTTGCAAAAGGAAATGGACTCGCTAGTTGAAATGGAGATGAAGTTTGAGGGTGGTGGTTTCAGCAATGAAGAAACACAATCTCATCTGGATCCGAAGCATCCTTTATCAGTAAAGCGCGCTAAAATTGAGGTATTGAAGAATCACGTGGAGGACGAGAAATCAAAGTACAATAACTCGGTTAAAGTCACTCGAACCATGATTTTGAGCAGCTTGAAAACGAGTCTTCCAAATGTTTTTCGTGCTTTAACAGCATATTCAAGTGCATACTCTCAAAGCCTTGACTTGGTACTTAGCTGTGAAACTGGAGCAGAACCCAGAGATTGATGGACGAAATCCTGTAACTTCAAAATGTGGGCGCGTTCAAATTTGTTGACCTTGAGCATCTTTGATTAGGAAATTTAGTTACCGGCTAAAAATTCAGCTCTATGTATATTCGCAGAGTTTTAATCAAAAGCAGAAGTGCAGATGCCAAAGTTCTTCATAATCATGATTTCGAGGTCGGAATTTCTCAGAATATTGACGAGAAACATGGAGAGGCCCTAAACAAAAAATATACTGTACTATGTTAAAATGTGAATCATATTTCGGAAGAACGAATCAAAGTAGTAGAGATAAGACTGAATGGAAGTTTCAGGCCACTTGGGGTATAAACCATGGGAATTTTTGGAGCTTTTCAAGCTCTACTACTCATACTAGCAACATTGGCGTACTCTAAAGTTGTCAAAATCTGAACAAGTGAGCAAGAGATAAGCTTTAGGAAGGGAAAAAGGTCTTAAAAAAAACAATGCCAGAGAAGATAAACAAGACATAAAGAAAAGTGTTTTGAAGCTCTGTCAAGGCTTTTGGAATAAGATCTCACAGACTGAGCAAGACACTGAACATATGCAGTAATGAGTTCAAATGACACACCCACCAGATTGATGATTAATCAACTACAGAGGAAGGACCATAAATCCTTATAAAAGGCATAACTACGCAATATTTCCAAATACCAGCTCATGCAATTCTGACTGTACTATGTACATTTATTTTATTCACTTCGAATAAAAACAAATAAGAAAACTCTGTACAAAGATTCGAACTTCAAAATAAAAACTAAATCACTTAAAACAAAAAAAAGGACAACTATGGAGGAAGCCTTACTGAAAAAAAAGAACCGAATTATAAATTGACTAAAAAGTATTTACGTTAGATATATGGTACCAAATTGGAGTTTACTCTTATTCTTTGAACACGCAAAGTGAGTTATTAAACAGATACATATGCGACCATTTCCACTAAGAAGTTGATACATTCTCTACGCCATGTTAATGGCTCTTCTAAACTCAGCATGCAGAAAGATGAAGGAACATGCTTTGATAAGAGGAAACCGCTTACTACTACGTGATTTTGAACAACTTCTTGTTTCCCTGAAATAATCACTGCATTTCGAAATGTTCCCAATCTTCAGATGTGTCTTCAGATGCGTTTTCAAATGGCTGAATTCCGGAACACGCCAACCTGTTAATTGCTGCAAGTCCTGTACAAAACAAAGCAACTGAAGACATTAGCGATTTGTACTTGGGACTAGAATATATCAGCTTGGATCAGTAGAAAAAAAGTAGCTAAGATACTACCTTCGATTACTCTATAGAGAGCTGACCACCATCTTTCTCTAGGAATTGCATAATGGTTCAGTGTTTCTTCGATTTGTTCATCATGTTTTCCTTCCAATACTCCTTGCAAAGTTAAAATTGCATCCTTGGTTTCATGTAAGATGTTTGAATGATCAAGATTAGGTATTTTCAGGTCCTTCAGCGCAGACGAAATATTAAGAGCGACTGCAAATCGAGCAGCAGCACTCCAATATGAAGACGCCTGCCATTTTCTGTGTTTCCTATGCTCTGGTGTGAATTTCTTTTCCCCTTCCTTTTCGAGAACTAAGCTTCGTAAGTACTGAGCATTTGCAGACCCCGTGCTCTGCACCATCTTAGAGAAAGCACTACCTTCATTTTGTAGAAGCTTCTCTGGCGTATCATACTCCACTACCTGAAAACCACGCACAGCATCAAGGAAGGGTGCATTCCAGTGTATGTCATCTTTAATTGAAATGATTATTTTCAAGTCAGCATTGCGTACACCAAGGAAGAGTTCAAATGAATACAAAATCTTCTGAGGTATTACCTGACCAGCATCAAGCAATAGGATATGGTCACTGTCTATGATAGTATTTAGCCTGTGAGCTATGGTGAGCATTGTGCATGATTTGAATTCTTCTCGAATGGTCTTCTGTATTAGTGCGTCAGTTCTAACATCAACAGCTGCAGTTGCTTCATCAAGCACAAGAATTTTCGATCTCCTAAGAAGAGATCGAGCAAGACTCAGTAATTGCCTTTGTCCAACACTGAAGTTCTCTCCTCCTTCTGAAACCTAGAACCAGTTACACAAATTAGAAGCGTTCAATGAATGTGTACATTCATCATGGAAAAAAACGATCATATACATAATTTACGCATATCTCGCATTGAAGTCACCATGATAAAGATTTGGGTGAAGAATAACATTGGTGGAATAATCTATGTTTCTGAATCTTGGGTTAACAAAAATTTCAGGTCGTACCTCAGCATCCAAACCAAGAGCATATCTTCTGATGACATCCTTCAAATGAGCACGCTCTAATGCCTCCCAGAGGTTAGGGTCATTGTGTTCACCAAAAGGATCAAGGTTAAAACGCACAGTCCCTGGACCAAGGAAACAAACACTGGTATTAGAAACAAGGAAATGACATCTAAAGAAAAAGTGAGAGAACGCCTTCCATCTTCTCTTGTTTGTTTGCATAATACCAGAATTGTGAAATGACTTTAAATATCACCGGTAAGAGCTCAAGAAATAGTAAACTTCCAGTATAAGTTTCTTATCAATCACACAATCTATACTTCATTGCCAAACTGTTATGCTACTGCAAATCACTATCCTAAAGGAAACAAAACTTCTGGAAGAATCACTATTCACTGCCATTAGTAGGCGACAAATCTGGAGCTGACATACCAGAGAAAAGAACAGGTGATTGTGGTATGATGCTGAGAACTCTACGAAGGTCAGTCAATCCAAATTTTGAGACGTCATAGTCATCTATCAAGATTCTCCCACTTTCGAGCTCTACAATCCGAAACAAAGCGTTAAGAAGGCTCGATTTCCCTGCACCAGTTCTTCCAACTATGCCAACTTTCTGACAAGGAGAAATCTTAAAAGATAACCCCCGTAAAACAGGAGGCAGTCCAGGCCTGTAACGAAGGACAACATCTTCGAATCTGATTAATCCTGAAGAGGGCCATCCAGGAGGAGGACGATTGCTTTCAATAATATCTGGAGCCTCAGATGGCAAATCAATATACGTTCCCACACGTTCCACAGCATTTAGACTATTTTCAGCCCTACTTGCTTGTCTTAAAACGTTACTAAGCAAATTTGTAATATTTAGGGAATAGCTAAGTAATAGACCCATCGTTGATGCAAATGCAACATGATTTCCAGCTTTTCCATTCTGCATAACAGCAAATGTTGCCGTCATCCAGATCATTATGCCTCCCAGTGTTTCCAGCCTGATGGTTAGCCAGCGATTGGAACTTATATTAACTAGAGTGAATCTGAGATTATTGTCCATAGCTTTTCCATTGATTTTTGCCATCCGGTCGTGTGCTTTATACGCACGAATGGTTGATAAACCATTCAATGCTTCTCCAAATTGTGCATAAACAGGAGATCTAGTAATGGAATCCAGACGCTTCACTTCCCTTGCTGTGCTCTGTGAGAAATTAGTGATTACAGAAGTTCGGAGTTATAAAGATGGGAAAGGTAATAAATCAAATATAGACATTGAAAGTACAAACAAAAATGTTCACTATCTAATCTAATACTTTGCATTTGCAAAAGTTCTGCATGTCTTCTTTTAATTTTAAAATTCCAACAAGATCCTGGGAAAAATGTGTTTTAGCTGTTGACAGTACTTGTTCATTAATGAAAATGCGCAATAAAGTACCAAAGCTTGATATTGTAAAAAGAGGTGCACACTAAATATGCATAATACACCACTCTCCTCAACCAATAAGGTCAAAAAGACCATCAAAAGACAGACACACGTACTACCAGAAGGAATAAAGGAGAAGGAGAGAAGAAAGTCACCAACCTGATAATACAGATAGGCTGCATAAAACACAATCAGAAGGGGCATTATTGCCCAGAGTGATATGGTACTCACGAATCCTATGAGTACAAATGTTGAAAGAAGCTGCCAGAGTTGATTAAGAAACATATTCGCCATACTGGCAACATTCCTATCGATATCACCAATATCCTTCGAGAATCTATTAATGATTCTTCCAGTAGGATTTGTGTGGAAAAATACCATAGGAGCCTTGAGTATGGAGTGCAACATGGAATCATGAAGTCTTTTGGCTGCATTGAGACTCGATCTAATCAACCAAAATGAGTTTGCAAATGTTACCAACACCTGTTTACAGAAAACAGTGAAATTTCTTTAGGCTGCATATGAAGGGTGAAAATTCTTGATACACCTGATTTCACTTCAAAATAGCGCGCCACACACACTATGGAAACAAAGAGACAAGCTATAGGGAAATTTTTTTCCCCCCTTCAAAAATTGTTAGGAAGTATTTTTAATTTAGTATAAATAACACGAGGTTATACTAAAAAGCGATACTTTGAGCAGACTTTGAGCTACAAGAGGTGACAACTAACATTTATCATGAAAAAGGAGAAGCGGTTCCCGGATAACCGAACCAGAAGTGTTTAATACCATAGAAAAAAAATAAAAGAATAAACTGAAGGATAAACTTTGCGCACTCATGCAAATAGCACGTTGCATACGTACCTGACCAGAAGACAAAAGTGCATACACTAGGAGGTAAAAACCCGGTCCAAAGCTAGTTGAAGAGCTTTGCTTTGTCCATATACTCAACCATGTGCTACTTAGAATACGAAGGATTTCTGTTGATATATAGCAGCTGAACAGTATCATGACAACCCACAAGCCTCCTAAAGCATCTCGATACCTGTTAATAAACCAAATTACGACTTACTAGCAATTTGTTTAAGGCTTAGTGAAGGTACTTCTACTGATATTTTTTCTTTCATGCCACAATGCAAAAATTCCTTGACAAAACACAAGCATCTCTGATTACATATTGTTTGTATGCATTCACAAAAGTGCAGAACAGGGTGACAGAAAATCAGGAATATAATTTTCAACAAAATTCACACTGCCTGCTCATTGCCGTGGCCAACATTTACACTTCCTCAATTACAACCTTTCCCTAAAATATAACTAAGAAGCCAAACTAATTCAGTATGATAGCTTCAGTCGTGATGCATAGATTTACAAGGGAAAAAAAGTGGCGTGAGATGGTTAGTTTAGGCTCCACAGAAGCCTGTGTAAACAACTCAGTCATTCACTTTTCTGGTTACCAGTGTTTCCCGGATCACAGAAGAATCCATTTGAGGTACACATTTTGTTCATTTCTTTAAAATTAATCATTGGAAACAAAATTTACACATCATTTCAAGTTAATTGCTATTCTGCATCGATCACGGGTGAAAAAGAGCAAAAGATAAAAGAATCGAAATAATGATTTACAGAGTTAGTTGCTACCTCATCAAAACATTCCAGCTGACAACTCCAGTCTCCCGCTCTTCTTGCTTGATGAGTATTGATTTAACTTCCTTCCTTCTACTCATGGAGTTTGTGTCCTTTGGCTGCTCATGATGTTTATCATCAGGGTATGGGGATTCACTAACAATATCTGTCATATCCCCATTAACTTCCACATGTTCTTCCATCTTCCCTGCATTTTCCATCAGCTTTTGGAAAAGCCTACCATGTCTAGAAAGCTCCTCAAAGGTTCCTTGCTCTTTAATTCTACCTTCTGACACCAAAATAATTTTATCTACTTGGGGAAGAAAGTGGAGCTGGTTTGTCACTAGCACCCTTGTTTTCTCTTGCAATTCTTCCTTAATACATTTGTTGAAAACCTGGAAGTTGAGAGAGGAAGCAATGGTGGAGGTCTATTGAAAACAGGGTTGGTCTTGGGATGCCAAAAAAAAAAACAAAACAGTAGAATGCAGACACAAAACACGATAAATTAAAGAAAATCTAGCAGTAGATTTCGAAAGGAGTGGGGGCCAAAATGGCTGTAGCAGAGTTGGTTTAGTAATAGTTGTTTTAATCTATTCAACAGTTTCCTGAAGATGATCTTATTCAAATTGGAATACCTGTCTTGCTACATCCGCATCCAGAGCACTCAAAGGGTCATCAAATATGTAGACATCAGAATTTGAGTACACAGCCCGTGCCAAAGACACTCTCTGCTTTTGTCCTCCGCTGATATTTACTCCTCTTTCACCAATCTCGGTAAGGTCGTGACCCTGAAAAGTCAGTTGATATTCATGATATAGACTCAATATCAAAGCTGTAGATAATCCACTACATGATACACGGAGACTCAACTGGAAGTAAGTCAAGGTCATGCTGTAATGCTGTGACCTCTATAGCTTTCCAATATTGTGCACGCTGAAAGCTTGATCCAAACAATATGTTCTCGCGTACCTACATAAAAATTTCAACGATAAAAATTAGGAGAAATATCTTTTGAATCTTCAACTATTTATTTTTTTTTTTTCTTTCAGTGCCTTATATCTATTTTTGGTTAGGATATGATGCCAATAGTCTTGAGAAAAGTAAGAGAATGATAAGATATGGAGATGCTGAAGCTCACTGTGGCATTGAAGATCCAAGAAATTTGAGGAACATAAGCAACTGTTCCTCTAATTACAACCCTCGAGTCTCCTACAGCAGGAAGCTCCCCAAGCATTGCTGAGATAAGAGACGTCTTTCCTTCTCCAGTACCACCAACAATTGCAACAAGGCTTCCAACTTCTATATCTAAATTTACATCTGATAAAGTTGGCTTTTCGGCCTGAGATTCCAGACAAGTTTCAAGATAGGAAAACTTATGAAAAACAAATATTTTTCAACTTTGGAAGATCTATTCTAAAATTAATTGTTGATAGCCAATGTCTATTGGTTTTCTAAATACAATCATATATTCCTAGAAAAAGCAATCATGGATCTTTTTAGTATGATGATGTTTCATAAAGTTTCCTTGATAGAAACATATTTTTGGCCTTTTAAGAAAAATCCTCCTGATAAAAAGAACTGTTGGAACTCAACCTCTTTGTAATGTAAATATTTAAGTTCTTCCCTTTTCTCATGGATTCAGCCATGATGAGTCCAGATCAGCATTTGGGTTTCTTTGTCCTCACACATTACATGTATAATTTTTGTCACGAATATCGGCAAAGACACTTCATACAGATATTTATGCATTGGTTAAATAACTCCAATGGAATTTCCTTTCTTTATGCTGTAATACTTAACATTTATGCGGTTCCACCAAAAAAAAAAAAAAAAACACTTAACATTTATGTGGTTCTACCAAAAAATTAAAAAAAAAGGCTGACATATATATTCACCATCAGCGTGAAAAATCATGCAGAAATACAGGGAAATTAGACCTTCGAATCCCATGAAAAGCACCCATCCTTGATTGAAATGGCAGGAACTCCAGCTTCTCTAGGTGGATTAGGTAAAAGAATTCTTTCTTCAGCGATAAACAGTTCTTCAAGTCGTTGCAATGATACATTTGCATTCACAACCTTGGAAAACATTCATGTTAGGAAGTTTGAAATGTGTAACTAGTTTATGCTCAAGTACATTTGTCGATACCCAGATATTTTCACAAGAAATCAACAAATCAGGTAGCAAAAATTTGGCTTCTATACACAGAAGACAAGGCATCCACAGAATCCAGAGTAGGCCGAAACATATAGAGAAAAGGAAAAGTCAAGACAGATGTAGTTTCACCAAAAGCAAATGATTTACTTCAATAGACATTTCATTTGACGCCCCGAATTGTCAGCTGAACTAGGGCTTTGGCTTCAAGCATGGATAAGGGAATGCTTATGAATTGATCTAACCAGTACCATAAGGAAAATCGCTTGAAAATTTTTCTTTAGGGACTGTACCATTCATTGGAAACAAAAGTGAAGCTACTCAGATTTTTTTTCAAGCAACCAGCAAACAAATTGATCATAAAAAGCCGGTAATAGCAAATGATTGTTATTTCTAGATTGATTTCATATGCAACTCCCCAAGTGAAGTATTAACAGTAGCCGCCTCCTAAATTCGAAAAATTTTGCCTTTTTTTTTTTTTTTTATCTATGTTCCTCTGTGAGGACAATTGTGAACGATAAAGTTAAGAGAACTGATAGATTATCATTCTTTTTACTCCACATACTAGTATAATTGTTGGAAAAGCTTGTTACTGTGGTACTAAAGAACTCTCTGTGACTTAATACAACTTTCAACTGTAAACTACCATGAACATCAACAACATTACGCTGGGTTTGGGAGAACTAGAGCAAGTGCTTCTCTGCTGAAGCTTAAGAGAACTATTAATTTCGGCATTCCTGCTCTTTGATTCCTTGTGTGGATGCATTGAAGTTGACAGACCTAGTTAGACGGCCCAATTTCCGTATGGCGATATGTTATATTTTAATTGTAATCACAAAAAGTCAAGATAAACATTATCGGAAGTTTTCAGTTTCTCATATGAAGAGAGTAGAACCTGAGTTATCAGATTCGGAAGCATGTTCAAGGGAAACCGCAGCACTGCAAACAGAGATAGTGAAGTAAAAGCTCGTGCTGGTGTCAAATCTCCACCAAGCAAAGTGAACATTCCAAATGAAACCACGGTGACAAGGACCGGGATGCTGTTCAATATGAACGTGTTGCACTGCAAACAACATTAATATAGAATCAATAAGGTCATGATGGATTTAGAAACCAATATATAAGACATCATCCAAGTTTGTCATTAAGAAATTTTAAGAACTGATCTTTTTGTTATTTTCTGATTTAGAAAAATAAAATAAAATAAAAATTTCTACAAAAAAGAAGATACTTCTCAAAGTTAGCTCTATGGTCTGGCAATAACATTATTTTCAATCCATTCAATAACAGCAAGCGTTTTACACCCTTCCGTAGCATGATAAGGTAAAATAGTTATTTTACACCTCACTGAATTACATGCAAACAAGTCACTTATCAGCTCTATCTTTTCCCAATAGAACTTGCAGATAATTTTCATAGTGCTACTCTTGTTGCAAAAGAGGGACAAAGCATTATGATGAATAGTGATAGCACATTTAAAATTAATGTGTTTTAGATCTACTGGACACTAGCATTATAATGGATAGTGATACTGCACATCTAAGATTAATGTGTTTTAGATCTACTGGACATTACTTTAATGTATAAGCCACTGAAAATGATTCTGAAAAAAACACCGTCTTTGTGGATTTAGATTCCCTACAGTTATAATAGCAAACAGGCCATTCAACCAAACAGCAGGAAAGTTAGGCTGATAGCCCTTAATCACTCAATGACATTAGATTCACAACATCACACGTTATTCACACAAATGAAGGACTGTCTTCTAAGAGATAATAAGCAAATTAGATTAGTACGCAGACGTGGATCTCTTATTGAAGCCCTTGCAGTTAGATGACACAGGAGTAGCAAATAAATCATTACATACTGCTGCTAGCAACTGTGCTTTCTTGAACCATGAGAGTTCCTCGTTCCTCATGCTTTGGATTTTAGATTGAAAACTTTTCTCCCAAGCATAGCATCTGTATTGTAGTTCACCATAAGACGGACACATCAGAATCGAGAGATATGGGATAAGAAAATGGAAAAGCAGGGTATCCATATTACATTCCGCCTTACTTCACAGTGTCCATAGCCACTAGAATCTCATTCATCAGCCCCACTCTCTTGTCCGTGCGTTGTAAGCCTTCCTTGGACAACCTTCTCATGTTGCTTATTATAAGAGTCTGTTCATAAAATCAAATCACTTGTTTTTTTAATCAGACAAGTTTTCAAGTTTAAAAATAGAGAGAGAGAGAGAGAGAGAGAGAGAGAGAGAGAGAGAGAGAGAGAAATTTGAGCCGGTAAAACTGTAGACGAGTATTTGAAAATATGGCATCATAAGCATTTGAATCCAGACACAGGAAATGAGAACCTCCAGATTTATGTCTACGTCAATTGAACTTCTGACATGAAAAGATATAAATATTGACTGCATGATATTAAATTATTAATGAATCTGATTGAATGTGAACCTATTCATGACTCGATTTAGTGATGATGTTCCATAATAGGGGCTTCTGACAATTGAATAGAAAGATTCTAGATTACTTTCAATAACACAAAAGGCACTTCAGGTTAGAACCATTCCAGTATCTTTAGTAAACCGCAAACTTGTCCTCATCTCTTAACCGACAGAATAAATAAAAGAAAATGCTTTTGAATTCAAAGAGTATAGTATCTTTCTTAGTGGCATGGGTTGAAGAAACTGTTGGAAACTCATTATTACACGAAAAATTTGAATATATCACCGGGATGCAAGACAAGAGAATGTAGTTCACAGTCAAGGTGATGTGATGTGCAACTTGAGTAGAGTTGAGCAGATTAAGGAATGTGACTAAGAGTTTTATACCTGAATAGGAAACATGAGAACTAGCATAAGAGAACCAAGAAGAGATGCCACCCCTAATTGTTGGTACAGAAGAACCATAGCAATTGTGATCCGGAATGGAGCTGACCATAAGCCATGAAGTTGTTGGCATATTTGCTAAGAATTAACAGTAAAAATCAGCACAAGCATGTATGCGCCAACTAATGAAGTAGAACAAATTTATAGTAAATGAAAAAAGTAAATAGACAAAAGGAAACTATTAATCTCCAAAATCAAATTGTTACACATTCATCCCATTTCTCTTAACTACATTAACAAGTTTGGATCTGGTGATTATAAGAATTCAATGAACCACCTTTTCAGCATTTCGGCCAATCTGATTTATTATAGGACGTGATGATGTTATCCAGTAAGACTATCACTCATCAGGTTGAGAATTTGTTACTTTCACTGTGATCTGCTGCTTTTGCAATGTAATTAGCATCAGTAAGTGAAAATGAGAGGAAATATGCACCACCCTCCCCCCCTCCTCTTTCCATGTTCTTTTTCGAGTGATGAGTGATAAATAACAATAATGGACTCCTCCAGTCAGATCAAACCCTCTGTAATAGCCAGGATATGAACTAAATGTAGATTTTGCTTTTGCTGGGTGCATGTGGCTCTAGGTATTGCTATTTGTTGCAAAGATATCTTGATGAAATTTTGAGTTGTTCTTGTACATGATCTTTCCAGGTATCTCAAAAAGTAATGGAGTTGACATGAAACTTTCGATAAGCATCCCACATGGAATAACAGAGCACTCATATGCAATGAATACATCAGGATAGTACATCAAGTTCAGTAAAATTTGTTATTTAATACCTGAAGAGCATTAGCATCTGTTGTTATCATATTGGTTATTCTTCCAGATGGAAACTTCTTGCGACTCTCATGTGTAAGCCTCAAAGATTTGCGGAATATAGCAGCCACCTACAATTTCCATCATAACTCTATCAATTTTCATATCAGAAAGCAGGACTGTCAACCACAACTATGCTACTGTGAACAATAATACATTGTTACAAACTAGACTGATTCAAGTTAAATGTGTAGTACTCTGTTTGTCAAGGATGTGTAAGTCAGATGTCTCTGATTTCTGAAGGGATATATACACAGGCTGTAAACTTTTCTCCGCATTTACACTACTACGCAAGCATTTTTCACGTTTTCTTATAGACATAACACCTCAAATTTTAACTACTAAGGTGACTGCACTAAGCATTACCAAAACACAAATACAGATTAAGGTAAAGGTAAAATGTCACTTGGGTGGGATGGTAAGGGTGGGGGATTGAACAGTGTACTCATGTTACAGGTATATGTCAAAACACAAATACAGATAGATATAACTTGAGTGCATGCACAGGAATGAAAATGATTACCAAGGTAGATCTCAGCCTGAAACCAACACGCATTACATTCTGAAAGTACTGTGCTTCACAGAGAACTCCACATGACTGCATCAAAAATTCAATAACAATAAGCTTAAAACTGCATAGAGCGTGGCTTGAAATTTACAAGAGACTGCAAAGAATATGGAACATGCATGTGATTTAGAATGGAAAATGCTTCAAAACGGTTACTAATTAAAATAAATCTGGTTTGTAGAAAAAGATACATGCAGGCCCATTGACGCATGTTCTCCATCATTTTTTTAATTTTTTATTTATTTATTTTTATTTTTTTGTGTGGAACCATCAAAGATTTTCAATGCACCTGTAAATGCTGACAGAAAATCTTGATGACCTTATACTATGATATATTACAGGCAATAATGCAATCTTTATCATGTGATCAACAAGAAAGCCGAATAAATGACATAAATGTACTCTCCTGAAAGGTAGAATGATGATGGAATTTCATCGTACCACTCCCACAAAAATTGAGAAGGCATAAACATATCCAACCCAAGCTGGATCTCCCCGCTCCAGAGACTGCAAGAAAGATCAAGTCAGTCTTGAAGATCAAGTCAGTCTTGAAAACCATATGCTGCAAATGAAGTAATTCATCAAAAAGCTATGGATTTTCTTCTATGAAAAACTAAAATCAGAACAAAGGGATCAGTACTCAATTGCAGTAAGTGACTTTACCTTTAAGAGATGGTTTAGTATGACAGGTCCGACAAACTGGGAAAGATCATTTCCAATCTGCAGGATGTTTTGGAGTACAATTAACAAGGTTCATAAGTTAAAAAAATATGTTTCCTTACTTCATATCAGTGCACATTTTATGCTCTCAAAATTGTAGATTCCTTTTATCAAATTTATAATAAAAATAAATTGGCAGTGCATGCTAAGTGATGCTATGTAGCTAAACACCGAAGAAAGACATTGGATGAGAAAAATAATATCGACCACATGCATTCCTACAACATGATGCTTATGTGAAATATACACTTCATATAACAATGCAATCTCTGCCTACATGATATGCATAGAATCACATTTCCAGTGTTGAATAGAGTATTGCTGGAAAAATTAGCAGTTTCAAAGCTCCTTACTTTGAACAAGCCTCCATACCAAAATCTGCAAAATCAAAAGTGTACCTACAGTTAAAAAGCAGAAGCCATTCAACAGAAGTAGAATCTTCTCTAATGAAATGACAAAACTTTACCTGCCTCCAAGGCTATAATTTAGAGCACGTAGAAGCCATGGATTAGATCTTTGCGATTCTACAACCCAGCACTTTTGGAACCTGTCGCAATTGCCAACAAAAATACAATGTGTTATTTGACTTTAAAATACATCTAGTTCTGGTCTAAGAGAAACGACAAAACTGACTTCTCAATAAGTGTCTCAGTCTGATCCCATGAATCCAATTGCCACACATCCTTATCAGTGATTGGTTTCTTGTACCCTTGTTGCATGAGGGGTGTCATCCAGCCGAAACATATTCCTGTAAAATGGAAAATAGTTATGGTTCCATTTTATGGTTGTCACAAGAAAAATCATAGCATATGGAGTTATTGAGACATAACACTTCAGTTTTTACTCCTCTAAGTGTATTTATTCATAAAATTTTCCGAAAGGTGCAAGCCAAGTGGTTGAATTCCTAGTGTTGGAATAAATTTGGCCTGCTCAATGACTGAATTGGTACTAATTTTATGCAGAATATACCAGTCTGAATGGAAAAGAATTCAGGTTTGGCATATAAATCATTACATGTGCCCTTTCAAATAAAAAGGGATATAGCGGCCTATTTTTTTACTGGAAACCCTTTGCCTTCTACCAAATTATAATCATCCTGGCAACAGTTCCTTGTGTCTTCTTGTACAAGACATTCTCCCTTCTACTCGTAAAGTTCTATGAGTCTTCAGCAAAAGTGAAGTGATATCGTTTTCTACAGTTTTATCAGCCTTCAAATAAGTAAAGTGATATCAAATGTTAGTTAGATGACTAATCTAGTAATATAGAGGTTCTCGACGTTATGATCAACACCTTTAACAATTTACAAAGTGACTTTTTCTGCTGTAGATTAAGAAGTGAGTTGGTGATGCAAAAAACAAAAAATAAAAAATAAAAAATAAATAAATAAATAAACAGTTCCGCGAACAGGTATCCTTTCTCTTAGAGCTCCTAATTACTGATAAGTATTGTGTTGAAAGCTTAAGAGTCTAGCATCTTATCAGTAGAGACTTAAAAATCAACTACTTACTAGAGAGGAAGTTGGCATGTCTTTCAGGACAGATATCACCTCCAAGCAACTTCTCGTGTTTACTTTCATCAATAGTTTCAGCAGACAGTGGTATGTAGCCAGGGTATGCTTCCAATTGCGGGAAGTGAGCAAGAAGCAGCACCGCGAACACAATCTACACTAACGAGTAAGCAAACCAAAGAGTGAAGCTTTTTTCAGCCTTGATTGCTGTGTCTGTTTATGTGCTTTGCAGTTGGATTTTCATTGATGAAACAGTGAAAGGCATGATCCCTATTAATCAAAATACAAAAGTGAACAGATATAAACAGCATTTACCTGGCAGACAAACGAACAGCAATATAGATACAGTACGGACCTGCAATATAACAATTCTTGAATATTTTGTAGCTGAAGATAAATTTGGTGTCAGAACTTATGACATTAGAAGAGCAAATTATTCTCAAAGATGCATGTAACTATTTTTATTACAAAATTAAACAGTGCCTTTAAATGGAAATTATATGTTCTAGACACCAATAAAAGGAACTTTCCTTTGTCTTTCAGAAAACTGTTCATGACCTACAGAAATAATTTCTCAATTATGGATTCCCATTCTAGGTTGTGTAGGTCATATCCAACCATAAGTTACATGGCATTTTAATCAAAGCAAGACATGGTTCTGTTTATTTTCAACAGGAATGAAAACATTGCGTCTGTTTACCACGAAAAATGAAGAATCCAGCTGCCATTTGCCACTAACACGATTAGTACCTTTATCTACGATTGATCAAAGATGTTCCATGATAATTAAAGAAGCAACCAATGTAAACTCGAATGAATAGCCAACGATTAGTGGTTTGTGGGACTCGCATGTAGCAAATGACCAGAGGTTTTAATAACACAATGTTTCAGCCATTGGGTTCTTTATGAGAGGGAATGAGATTGTAATTTTCTGGTCTTAATAACATTATGTTTCAGCAATTGGGTTATTTATGAGAGGGAATGAGATAGTAATTCACGACTTTGCTTACATGTATAAGGTTTTAGAAGAAGAAAGGCTACAAACAGATTTGAACAGCAAGACGTAAGAGTTAAGAAAAAGATGGAACATAGTTTACTTGATAACACATTTTGTGGAAACCTGAGGCTTCTAAAAGTAATGCTGGTTAGCTCAAACATACTATCCTCATAAATAAAGAAGGTCCAAATATGCTGAAAAGAGCATGTTGCCACTGGCATTAATCTGATATTGTAGCTACCAGAAAGCACAGTTTTGTTCTTATTGTTAAATTAGATTATTTTCAAGTAACATTGTCAGGGGTGATCATGGTGAATGAACTTCCAAATTCAGTGGGGCACAAGCTCCTCTATCTAATGGATATTATTACTTTCACAGGTTTTTCAAACTTTGGTTTTTCTAATTTATTTTAGATTTCGAGATAAACTCTTCTATTGAACTCAAATGATGAAAACATTTCCAAGTAATCCCTATCAAAACTTCACTAGTGAAGCACAACATATACAGAATCGTAACAAAGAGAATAATTCAGTCAGTGGAGAATACCTGACCTTGAGTAAAACTCAATCAGTGAAAGGATTAAGTTGAATATCACAGCATCTCCCACAAGAATATAAATTACTCCAAATCGAATGTACCACTGAAATTCTTTAACATAAACTTTTGTTTCCAACAGAAGCATAAGAACTAAGGAACCCCAAGCGATTGCCTGAATGCCAATTGAAAGTATCTGCAGCAAAAAGCGGCTCGTAATCTCTATGTGCTGTAAATAGGTTTTCCAAAAATCAAAACAAGTAACAACATTACAGAGACATTTACATCCAAGAGTTTCAGAAATGCATCAAGCTAGGAAACGTAAAGGCAACCGAATTACTGATACTATTCACTTTCTTCACAGAATTCCCAGTTTTGGTTATATTAGGTGGAAAATGAGCTGTACTGATTTGTCAGAAGTAAAGCAGGAGAAAAAGGTAATGTACAAGAATTTGGGAAGAAAAAAACCTCATAGGGAGCAAATCCACTTTGTGCATCCAAATTGAAAACTGAAATGCCCAGAGCTAATCTGAATAAAGACTCGACACCACAACAACCTGCCAACAATCCCAACAGATAATTGTAGAAATTCGACCTCAGCCGATACCTCCTAATTCTGTAATCCATCATCATCAACCATATTCTGTAACTACACAATCCAAGCACAACCAAGTGAGACACACAGCCAACAACTGAATCCAACACACAGGGTGTGTATGCTCCAAAAGCACTGTCCGTTTCATGAGCCCAAAGTCCATCCTCGACTGGCCTGCAATACCATATAAAGGGCTTGAAAGCCATCTTGACGTTTCAGCACCTGAACCAAAACCCCTTTACTTAGCAAAAACTTTCTGGGATTTCACCATAACATTTGAGTATTGCAGACCTGAAACAAGGCCAAACCAAGTATGTCTGAATTTTATAGAAAAACATTTCCCAAAATCTAAAGTATTAGTTCCTTCCACTGATGATCAATTTCAGTGTGCATTGGAATAGAGAGTCAAAGTTCGTATGAACATCCAAATAAAGTAAAAGAAAACAAAAGCAAAGAAAATGAAGCTAATAAAGTAGAAACATCAAATACACCAAAATTATGCATTTTTGTTATTGGCTTTATTCAAAACTAAATTCATACATCTTTATCCCATTCTCCCTCTTAACAAAAAAACTCCCAAATAACTTATCCACCATGTCCAATTCTACAAAATAGAAAGGCCAACTGAAGTCACAAACTGCAAATTCAAGCACACAAATGCACCAGTTCAAAACAACACCCGAATGTTGCTCATTAGAGACTGTAATGTTTTTTTGAAGAGTCAGTTTACTGTAAGAACCAGAAAGAAAAAACACCAGAGTGGAATGGTTGCAGGGGAAGCCATGAAAGTGTCTACAGAGGTTTTCATTCTTGGTATTAAATTGGATTAATCAAAGTCAACGAACAGGTATTCATAGTTGAATTACATGTATCAATGATCATACAACTGTTCTTTGCTACTAACCAAGCTTACAGTTTTACATGGCTACTACAGGAACCCACATAAAAACTTGTATGGATTTATGGTGTGACATGAAAACTACAAACTTTGCCAGCTGAAAGTGAGATAATTGGTGACAAAAAACATTGCTTGCCTTCTCTGGATGAAGAAATTTGAATGCCCCCAAAGTAGATTAAATCTTTGATTACCCTGAATTTGGTGTCATCTGCAGCACTCTGTTACATACCCCTCTTTGCTGGAAGTTTTCAGATAGTAGAATTGAATCATTAACCTGTGGAAATGGACCTAGTTAAACTTTCCTCATGGACTTTCCTTTGTTTAACCATACATTTATATTTTTGGCTTTGCTTACCCCTGGTAAGTGAAGAACCCAATATAAGTATGTAACAGCGGAGAAGGACTGATTCTGAAGTGGCAATGTCAGTGAATGATGTTGAATCTGGTCAAGTCCACTTGGATTATCTATGAACTCATTGTCATTGCTGTGGAAAGGAAGCCATATATATGTTTTTCCACACTTTTTGGCTCAATAGTCAATGTCCAAAAGTTGGCAAGTTTTGATTTTAATTTTTTTCAAAAAAATAAAATAAAAATTCACATTTATAATTCATATCTGTATTATAAATTTTAGGTTGTTCCAAGTGACATTCCTTTCAAACAAATAAATAAATATAAATATGATTATCAAAAAAATAAATAAAATAAGTAATATTATAATCATACTCTTTTCGTTCTGCCATAATATTTTTGTTTATTATACTAAAATAATACTCTTTCCGTCTCTAGAAAATAATTCAGTTTTAGAAATTAAAATGAACTAATAATGAGATTTCTAATGTACATGAAACTCCAGTAAATTATTTATTATATTAAGTGATCTAATTTATAAATTTTTATTTTCCTAGTTAGACCGTCTTTTCTTGAGATCAAACAGTTTACGACAAATGAAACATTCATTTTTAGGCAAAAAGATTGAAAGATTACTTCAGCAGTGGAATAAAATGACTTTCCAATTTGGCTATTTAGATTTGTCTCTTCCTAAAATCTAAGTGGGGGTTAGTTTTCTTTCCTTGAGAGGACAAGTGTGTTTGATTAGTTAAATAAATGTACATTAGCTACATGTTAAGTAACCACATTTTCACTTGTCTGTAAGCGGGGGATATTGAATCACTCGTCTCTTACACCTAAATAACCACATTTTCACTCTTGTAATCCTGAAATAATTGTTTAATTTGAATTTTTATTTATCATATAAATTATATTAAAAGTAAAAAATCTAACAAATATAATCATTTCGAGACGACACAGAAAGAGTATAATCGAGTAGTATTGTATGGGAGTTCTATGGATAAATATTGTTTAACTATGAAAGAAATTTATGCACACACGTCTTATATTATTCAAAAAATTATGAGTGCTCAAAAAACTTCATTCTATATTACTGGCCAACATGTTTTGTCAATCACTTAGTATTTGATTGATCAACTTGGAAGATTTATGCATTCACATCTAATCGAATCCTCGATGCTCCAAGAACTTCATGCATATTGGAAAATAAATGAATAAAAGGGAAAATAAAAGCAAATAATATTGTGATAAAATTGAAAGCGTCATGGCTTACGAAGAAAAAACTTAATAAGCTTTTGCATGAAACGAAAGCGACAGTGATTCGACTGAAGTTTTTTGGCTTGTTCTTCATGGCAATGTATGAATTTTTCTACTAGTATTCTGCCAACCAAACTTGTTTTCTTTTCGTTTTTATTTTGTATATGGAATTTGGCTCTTTCTGGTGGCAATTCATCTGGAGGAGTGGATGAGATTTGAGATGTAGCCAATACTTTGTTTTCTTTTGCTGCATGCACAAATATGGTGGGACTTTTGCTATCTTTCTAACCATACGGATTCAACGTTAATTCACGTGTCACACATTAACATTACTTGTGGAAAGGAAAAAAAAAAGAAAATACTTATTTTGATGAATAAGATATGGTGGTCGATAGGTCATTTGATTTAGTTTCAGTATGCAGTAAAATTTCCTTAAACAAATAAAGTTTAATAGATAATAAATCTTTCGGGTCTTAACTAAGAATAACAAAAATCAAACACGATTGATAAATTAATAATATGATAAATTTCCTATAAAATTCCTATATAAATATTGGTCGCCTAAAACACATAGATTAATAATGATCTAAACCATTAAAAGAGAAAACAATAAGAAGATTAAGAAAAGTAGGCGGCTACTCAACCTTTTTTTTTAATTAACTTATGACAAGATTTACAAAAGTTCTTGAGTGGTCTCAAAATTTAAGAAAGTTGGATCTTTGTTTTCTAATAGAATTGAAAAAAAAAAAACCCCTAGATTTTACTATTTTTTCACAAAATCACGAGAATAAATAAATAATTTTTTACTTTTAATTAATTAAATTTGCATAAATTAAATTAAAAACCATTACAATCCGCACAGGTTGTTATTATGAATATACAATAATAATGTTAAGTGCCCCATTGGCAGAGGAAGTTAGAGTTGAATTGACACAATGTAGGCAATCCCGATTTGCCCTCTTCTGTTCAAAAGAAGATTGCATTATTTGGCTAGCAAGCTGGACTAAAAGGCCAAAAGAAGCTCTAATTGGAGTATGCATATCACTTTCTGGAAAATATACAAGATGGCAATTAATATGAGCTTGATGGCTTGATCTTCTGGTTCTGGTCACAAATCCAAAGGATTCATTTCTTCATAGAAATAGTTACATAGGACCATCTCTAATATGCTCTCCAATAATTGTGTATCTCACAATTGTGACCCAAAAGAAAAAAACAAAAGGTTCTCATGTGTGCGGCACCGTGCCATATGGAAACAGAAATTAAGAAGCCTTTCAGAAACTCGTCATTTTCAAATTTACTATGAGCTGCCCCAAAAGGTACCTTTGAAACACAATTAGCTCTAGGATACAACTTAAACTAAATTGTTTAATACTTCTTGTAACCTCAAAAAGTTAGTTCAACAGATCAAACTCGGGTCAAAGTAAAAAAAGTAATCGAATCAAACTAAAAAACTTGTAGTAATTAGTCAAAAACTTGTGGTGGATTGTTTTAAAACGTATAACTAGTATCATGCTCAAAACTTATATATACTGATTCTATCATATCTTAATGGTTTCTTTTTGTTCAATTAAACAAATGTAACAAAATAAGATTATTAAATTAGGACGGATAAAGTACTTCTATTAAACAAATATAACAAAGTAAGATTATTAAATTAGGACAGATAGAATAATTTTTTCTATTCCAGAAAAATAATTCACGTTGAATTTCGATATTTATATTCTTTCTGTCCTAAAAACAAATAGTCTACATCAGACTTTAAAATTCGTATTAAGAATTAAAATGTGGACTATAATTTTTTTGGGACATAAGGAGTGTTATATTTTGTTTTTTTCGTTGAGCCGAATTCGAATTCATTGAATTTGATCAAACTGAGAGTTTGATTAATGAATTCGATCTCTGTCTATGTTGCCACATTCCAGCTCCTGTAACTGTAAGGGCCAATAGATCATATCAATGAGTTAATGCGGATCCATCACTAGGGCTAATCTGCTAGGATTTAATGTTGCGAGTTGACACAAAAAGTGGTCCTATATATTCGTTTATGCAAATGCAGTTTCAATTTCATGATCTTTTTTTGTTTTCCCTTTTTTTGGTTCGACAAATGAACTCCAGTCTCATTAATGTCAATCCACTTTCATGATTAATGAGCTCGACCATCGTTTTATTGATGAGTAATTTTCCGCCAAAAAGTCAGCGGACAAAGACACATACCAGAAAAGTGACCCTATTTCGATCATAAACCTTGCTTATATCTAAATGTCATATTTAATCTGTCATGTCGATTTTTTTTTTTCCTTTTTTTTCCTGCAGCGAAAGTTTTATGTGTTAGTATATGTTTTTCTCAATGTATATACTAGTGTTATCTCGTCGCGAGCTCATTATTGAATATTACATTTTTTCGAGATATGATATGATTTGTGAAAATTAAGTAGTATTATAGAATTATTATGATATAAAGAGATCCTTAAATATTATTTTTTTTATTTAAAAGAAATGTCAAAATTTATTTTGATGTACAAACATACAAACCTTAAGTTTTTTTTATTTTAGTGATAATGATTGACAGTAAACACGTTAAAAATATTTTGTCACATATTTCTTTTTTCTATGTGCTAAAGAAAAAAGTTTTAAAAACTAAAATTGATGACGTCATTTTTAATTTCGAATGGGTCCTTAGTAATTGTTTAGGATTTTACTGACGATTTAGACAGCAGAAGTTTAGAAATTGGCATTTGATTAAAATTTTGTATTTTGGTCGTAGAAGAAATTGTTCTGTTTTGAAACAAACTGAATGTTGTTAAAGAATGAGAAAAATCATTTCTGAGTTTTGATATTCTCAACGAGAAATTATCCTTGTCAAATCTCTGAATTCGGCAAAAATACTAAAATAATTATTAAGGTTTACGTAATAGTGTTTTGTTGTAAGAAACTCATAAACTCGTAAAAAGTAATTTCAAAAACTGATTCTTGATAATAACAAAACAAAATGATTTTTTTTTTAAGTACAATAAAACTAAATTAGTATGTATCTTCTTCTTCTACACATTATAAACTCAGAGAAATTACTCAAGAACTGCCCAATCTGGATAGGGACATTCATACACCCAGTCCGGACCACTATACTTCACACAATGCAGCCATAAACCCTCCTCATCTCCATCATATCTGAACCACAACCACAAAGCCTTAATTAACATCAGAATTATAAGCATCACTACCGATATATAACTCCATTTCAACAACTTTCTCCGTCACATAATAATAGTCATATTCTAGTTGAAATATCAAAAGCAAAGACGATCTTACTCAGAAAATTTAAACAAAACTATTCCGCAGCATATGGCTCCCCAGTAGCATACTATCATTTTCTCCTCAAACTAACATAAGCCCAGTTACCCAGACTCTTAAGCTTACGGCAAGCAAATGTCAACAAGACTCTTAATCATTTACTGCAATCATACTCATTTCTCAATAGTCAAAACTTCTATTGTTCAACTACATGCTCTATTCTGAGCTTTTTCATTTCTTTCAGTGTTGCCAGTTGTATGTTCAAGATTAACTTCCCTCCCAAGCAGGAAAAGTACAACAATCGAGGCATCGATAAGTGAACAGCTCATATAGTCTATCAATGAAATTAAGTTTTAGGGTTTGGAAGTGAAGATGCCTTTATCCTGCAATTACTTTCCTCAACAGCTCAAGTTTAGAAATTTCAGATGTTGAATCTACGTTGTTGAAATTTGAATCCATTAATTTTGACATTGTTACTTGAGAGTACAGGAAATCAAAATCACAAGCACCGAATCAACTCAGTTCGATTAAGGCCATGAAGTTCATCAGCGTTATGAATTTTCCCAGTATAAACAATTTTTGCAAGTGCAAGTTGAGACACAACTCCATTACTCCTAAATAGTAGCAATGATTTCTTACCCTCTTGGAGCCAGATTTGGGCAGTTCGTGCACATGGGATCAATGCTGAAATTTTGCTCAGAGCCATCGTTTGCTAAATGTTGAAGATTCTGATCTACTGATAGGTCCAACGCAGCACTATCTTTCTCTATAACTTCAGCTGTGGGCTTATCACCAGCTTTACATTGGTAAAGTTTATCATTAGCTATAGGATGACCAGTATGTTGCAGGTGAACACGAATCTGAGACACAGATGACAGAGCTGTATGTTCAATACTTCGGAATAAAAAGTAGCAGCAGGAAGTGGCAGCAGTTCCATGTTTGTAAGCTGATAATTATATTATTATGTTACAAGCTCTTTCAAACATCTTACTGATTCAAATATGGTGATGCACGATTACAACTAAAATTTTCATGACTTCAATAAAGTATCCCACCTGAGTCCTTAAGAAACAATTAAGTTAGGCTGATTCAGTCATTTGGTGCTGTGGACAAAACTATAATATACCTTGTGGGGACACTAGTTCACTATTTAACAGATCACATCTATTCCATTCAAAATACAAAGACTAAATGACCTCCAAGGACAATGATCCTACTTCCATCATTATGAGCTTTTGAGGTCTTGCACATAGTTAAGTCACAAGTAAAGATAATTTACTCTAGATATATTATCAAAAGAAAGACAATCGAAGTTAGCTCATAAAGAATGATGGAAGTAGCAAACTGATGGCTATCGTACCTGATGTGTTCTACCAGTAATAGGTTTACACAAAACTAGGCTTTGAGTACCATTGGTGCTGACCCTAGTAAATTTAGTGCAAGCAGTCTTTCCCTTCGGTAAAGAATTAGTATTTTGACAATCTTCTCCCACCTGCAGATGGCACTCTGATAGATGAGTATGATATTTGAAGTGCCATCGTGAAAGTTAAAAATTACATGATCTCAAGGGAGAAAAGAATAGTGAACATTTCCTGATAACTTAAAATATCCATTTCAAAATCCATCAGCAGTGATGCAAACCAAACCATTTATGAACTTGTGGTGGACTTTGGAAAAAATAAAATCAGCAGTAAGGTAAAGTTAAGAATTTGTTATACTTGACATCAGATGGCACCCAAAAATCATAAGGAGATTAGAACAGCTGATACTTTTTGATCGTTACAGTACCATTGCCTAGTCTAAAAGCCATATTGGCAATAATGTGACAGGTTACCAGCGCAGACCACTTACAAACCTAGTATTTGAATCAAGTTCAAAAAGAAATAAAAGCTGAAACATATCACCTGACTTGTTTGGACTGAGATATGATGTTAAGCAGTTGAGAGTAAATATTATTTTGTTTTAAAACAACTATCTATTCAGCATCTCAAACTTCCACCTAAAACAACTTTTAAAGCACATTTCAAATCTAAGCAAAAATGAAAACAAGATGTTGGGTATCAATTCCTTAAGGCAGGTATAAAGTGGTTCCGAAAAATAACTGCAAGAACTGTTTTGTGCAATGAATAGCACACAGAAACACTACTTGATTTCCACGATAAACTGCAAGAAAACTAAAAAGTCATTACTCTTGGAACGTTATAGCAAGTATAAAAGTCCCCCATCCTTGTTTCTTCTTCTTTGCCTAGGAGAAGATGACATTGATTTCGCAAATAAACAATGGTTAGACTGACCAAGAAATTCATACATTAGAAATTTAGAAGCTTGGAAAAGGAAAGAAGATCCCCTAAAGTCAAGTAATCTAACTACAAAAGTCACAGCACTCCAGCAATAGAAGTTTGTCTTCGTGGTTTCAATACAGAAAAAAAAGAATGCTAAGGTGCCCAGTCAAAATAAAAATTCTATCCAATAACATGAGCTAAATATACATTCTAAGAGCCATCTTGCTATCCTATATACTTTTTATCACCAATAACAAAGGTAAGCCAGCTAAGCATACCTCAACTGAACTCCTCCCTGCTCGAGCATCAAAATTCACATTGGCATTCACAACTTGCTGGAGAAAGTTGCTAAGAAGTCAAATAAAAAATTGAGGAAGATCTCTATGAAAGAACTCCAGCTACAACTGTTCGTCTTAAATTAAAGTATGAGACAAAAAACAAAAGTACCTCATTCTCAGGAAATGTACCAATAACCCTAGCAATATACTGTTTTTGCACCAATCCTGTCTCAATCTGCAAAACAAGCTATGGTTAAAAGGTTTTCAAAACATTTTATATGCCGTCTAGAAAGTAAAAATTTAAAAACCACACTTATTGGGAATGCAAATGCTAGATCTTGGAAAGACTAGTGACACACGCCTGTTGAACAAGGGCAGTGGCACGGTCAACGCCTAGTTGGCAAGTTGATCTATCATGAACCAAACTAGGCATTGCTTTGCTTATGAGTATGCAAACTCTACTATTCGATCACCAAAGGAATTTCCATTCACAGGCTGCCAACAAGAGACCTAGATCCTGCTTGGTCACTTGTGTTTTGTTTCATGATGTGTCTAGCACTATTTTTTAATATTTTTTCTACATTTTGAATGCCCATTTATACAGTTTCAATGTAGCTTCTAACATTTCTAGTGCATAATCAAAACACAAACATTGACATCATTAGTACCTCAAAGGTTCTCTAAAACAGGAATTCTCTCAAAGAGTATCCCTAATACATGTTCTATTTTATGCCTTCTGGTAGATAAAGAAAAAGTAACGAATTTGGGGTCGTGTATAGAGAGCAGATAAACTCTCAGATTAAATCAATTTAATTGTGTGTGTGTAAAAGAGAGGGAAAAGGCGTATTGGGGAAAAAAATATTGAAACAAGTTGAAAGCAGCAGCCAAAAACAATGGATACTCTTTAAATCAGATAGTTTGTGAAGTGCCACCTCCATGCATCTAAATGAATCCTCTAAAATGGAAACAGGTACTTTCTATATAAGATTTATCTAGAAGAAGCATTTATCGAATATAAATAGTCACTGTTCAAGTTGAAATTTGAACCATTGTCACTTGTCAAATAACAAAAAAATTGATTTTTTGAGTCCAATGGTATTCCACAGGACATTCAACTACCCAGCACGATTTGTAAAGACATGAACCAAACTTGATCAGCAACATAGTTTCCAAGTTGAAAATTCAGTTCTAACATGGACCACAGCTTTTAACTTGAGCCTTATGCAAATTGATGCAATATTGAAGTAGGCTTGAAGATCACCACAAAGTGGAGAAAAATGACATAGACAGTGAAATTAAATCATTAGATTGTTAGTTATAAACTTCAGAAGAGAAAACTAACGCATGCTTTGGGAAATGCCTGAAGAGATTCGGCAAGAAATTCTATTTTGTGATCTGATATAATTTAATGTAATTCAGTACACGTGTCTTGACAGAATATGATAGCAAGATATTACTCATACAGATGAAGACTGACTATTGTCATAAAAAGAAAAAATATAAAAATGCAGCAAACGAATTACAACGTTAACAACTTGTGATTGGGTTTAACAATTACCTAAAGCTTATTTCAGAACTCTCAGAAAAAGTAAGGGTTCTAATTCGACTAGCAACTTAGCAAGTAAAAGAAGCAACAATAACTTGCCTGCTGTCTGAAGATGTCAGCCTTCAAAGCAGTTCTTGCCAAGATAAGGAGTCCCGAGACCAGGCGGTCTAGACGGTGAATCGCTGATGTCTTAAGTCAAGGAAATCATGTTCAGCTGAAATTTACCCTCATGAAGCTGCAATGGATGCAAGGGAAGAATCGCACTAATCAATTCACAATTTTCATGAAGAATGTAAACTTCATTGATGCGCCTAAAAATTGGATACGAAATAGCGGGGCCAACCCATGCTCTGCCTCAAGAATACCAACAACGGTATTCTTCCGGTATTGCCCGCAGGGGTGTACCTACAAAGTGCAAAAGGGCAATTAAGTCTTTCAATCTTAATACTTGAGGATGTCTTGATTCTTATGCAAAAAGTCATTGCCGAGTAATTATCCAAATAGGGACAAAAATATCCAGTTACCCCTTGCTAGTCACTCTAATTGAAATAGAGTGAAGGGAAATCTTATTTACTACTTAGTACCTAGTAAATTAAAGAGCAGAAAGCAAAAGAAACGAGGAGAGAAAGATTTAGATTAGCAGTTTCAAGATATACAATTACAGCACGAGATATACATCTTTCCAACAAAGGATGGAAATTAAGAGAATGCCTTGTTACGAAGTGAACCCTTTTTTCTCTTTTTACGAAGTGAACTTCAATTCAACAGTTACATACTGAAATCTCTAGCACTCTGTCAGTATCAGTAGCGACATCGATTAGAACTGGCTCAAAATCTACTAACTATCATCTCGAATATACAAACACCAATAGGATCAATATTACGGGACTAACTGGTAAAGTCATACTACAGCCTTAAACAGCAGAAGTTAGTTGACGTGGAACTTCTAAGTTGTGGGTACGTATTTAATGCAAGGCAAAAAGTTTTCTACATGAATAAAGATTAAAATGGAAAAATGACGCCTTGAAATCAGAATATGAGACATCACAACTGACTATAACTTACTGGAACTGATGCAGGCTTACAGATTGTCAAAACTTCTTCATCTTCATGCAGTATCTTGATATCCAATGCCATTACGGGTGGCTCGTGCCTACATCCACCATGTCATTTATGACAACAAATAGTCAAACTCCCATGATAACATTAACTAACATAAATTAGCATAAAATAAGAACAAAACAATTCACGAATATCAATTGACATTTGCTGATGGCACAGCACAAAGTAAAAAAATGCTTCTGAGAGAAATTTACATACTCCTCAAAGATATAATCCATGAAACTAACCTGTGCACGAAATGGCTAATCTTCTGTGATGGTTTCACCACGTATGAAATAGGCACCATTTGTCCATCTACTTGAATTCGTCCGGCTTTAACAGCAGACATCTAAATTTATATCAACCCACAGTTCAGCTCCCAAAACCAATGATTCGAATAATCAAAATTTTAAAATACAATATTCAATCATAGATACACACACTAGACCACTGTGTTCAATTTCATTTTAGCGCATTAGCGTAATATTGACAAAGCCATAGTTTTCTCGGCAACATAACTCAAAAATACACTGGCAAACAACAGGTGAAAAAATAAGCTGGTGCACTCAAGTTAACACACAAAAAGACTTGGACAAGGAAATCCTACATAGTAATCACGAGGTCGTCCCTTGAATTCTTCGGTGAAGAGATCAACAATGGTCTTTTTTGCCCATCTATTTTTTACCTAAAAATCACATGAATACGAACAATCACAATCTATGATTAGTGTAAGACAATACGCAATACATGCTAGGCGTTCCAAAGAAATAACTATACTTACATGGGATATAAACTCAAAATAGTAAGGTCTCACATATCGTATGCCTACATAGCCATAAAATGCAAGAAGTTGGAAGTTGCAGAGTTTTCAATAATCTTAAAACCAGGGGAAAGTATATTATATGTACCATTCCGAAAGATGTAGTCATGGCGCTCTGGTGGGTTAGCTGGAGTTTGCCAAACAATTTCCATTTGGTCTCTCGTTCTTTTCATGCTCTGTTCCAGACTCCAGTGACTGAAATTTATTTGAAAAAAAGACAAATTCAATTCAACCTTCCAGCATAGATTTCACCAGTGCAGTTGTTATACTACTATCTCTGATTGGGAGTGTGGATTACACCAATTGGTTCCAATATCTAATTTCGTTTTTCAACCTCACCCCAACAAAGAAAAAAAAAAAAAAACTGAAAATCGACATAGGGATTAAGAGAAAACAGAATTCTCCCATGAAAACTTTGCAAGACAAACCTGCTTTATTACAAAACCTCCAATAGTTCACAGCAAAGGAGCATAACGATCGTCAGCTACTTCAAAGCAACTATTAACATATGTCCACAGCCACTGATGTCATTGCATTAATTAATTCACTAAGTTTGGCATAAATCAAAGGTCACAGCGACCATAGAGAAGAGGATACAGATTCCCTCGATGGCCGGCCGGCGGCGGAGGGAGAAAAGGTGGCAGTGGCGGAGCGAGATAATGCCAGTGCAATTTTTAGCCTCCAGAACAAAGTTTGTGTTCTTTTCCAAAATTGCCCTTAAGAAGTCAAGCCTTTTATTTTTTCCCTCTCTGAGATATCATTTCCCTCCAATTCAGCAATTTCCCTCCAGAAATAAAATTAGGGATGGCAATATTAGAGATTAGAGTGAACACTCGGCATCTTCATCTTTGCTAAGTAGTTGTACTTCCTCATCTTCACCGAAGTCAGGAAGAAGGTTTATTAATTCTGTGTTTAAATTTAGATGGAGATTCATTTAAGCATTTTTTCAAACACCTAACATGCCTTTAGGCCTTACGACTTGACAAGCTCAAGGCTGGAAGAAAAATCAAGGCACTAAGCCACTTCTAATCAAACAGAAAAACAGAGTAAATTTACCAAAAAGAGAGCAACAAATCAGTAACAATAATAAGCGTTTGTGTTTTTAGGACAACATTTGTTTTGATATCTCCATTTGAAATTGTTCCCTTGAATCCTTATCAATATGAAGAGACCGTAACGCACTATACAACACTTGCCATCAACGCAATCCAACCTTCCGGGGCGTAAGGAGGGAATTGCACATATGAAATGCTAGAGCCTAGAAGTAGGAGCAATGCAGTTGATGACATCATGCTATTGATATGTGAAATTTCTGGCGCATTGCAATGAGTTTACCTGGAATATTGTTAGCCACTTGACCGCAATCGAATCTGTGGCAGTAGCACTGGCGGTCGGCGGAGGAAGAAGGTGGCAAAACAAGAGGAAACGAATGGAGCGTGCTGGCAATGACTAAATTTGTGGCGACGTTGAAACATTAGAAACTTGCCAAAGTCAGTAAATATCAGCTTATGCATTATGCAATTTGGCAGTGATAATGCCAGTGCAATTATGAATTATGCTGTTTTTTTTTTCATGGGTTTTTTTTTCTTCAGAATACGATAATAATAACTGTCATATCTCATCATATCATTTTATATTTTCAATACACTTTTTTATATTTCTAATACAATGAATACTTAAAAACACATATTAAAAAAATAAAACAAACATGACATTTCAATTAAGATCGCTTCTCAAGTTACAATGGTGTTCAAAAAAAACTGTCCTGATAATTGTCCACCATGGTTGGCTTACAAAATCGAGGTCTTTAAACCTTGAGATTAGAGACTCAAACGTTTTTTTTTTATATATAATTTTTACAAGCACCTAGCCTATTACACGCGTCTGGGGAACAGGACATACTACTAGTCTAGTGGGGGACGACTCTACGCCTGCAACGCCTCTTTTCGCCCGTTCATCGGGTGCTTGAAGAACTTCCAACTGTCGGGTGTTTGAAGAGACTTACAAAGAAAGACAACATTTTTCATTTTTGCTGTTGTTGGTTTCAAACACGAGACCTCCTGGTTGGATGTCTAGCCCCTTTACTAAGTGTCACCCCCTGTTGGCAGACTAAAATGTTCAATTAAGAGACAACAGTTAATAAGCCGAGGGAGATTGATTCATCATTCTCTTTGGTTCAGGTTGCAGGTCATATGGAGAAGAAATCACTGAAAAAATTGTTCTCATTAAATAATTGGTGGTGATTTGCCACAACAACTTTTAGCATCCGGGGCAAATTTAGTGTGAAAGGACACAATTATCCATCTAAAAATTCGGGTACTTATCATTCTTTACACTCGATCATCTTCTTCCTACGCTTCAGCGTCCCATTCTCTGATGATATATCCGATGACGAGGAATGCTCCGCCGACGAAACAAAGCAAGAAGACTTCCTGAAACTAATCCCAACCCGATCGGGTGACCTAGGTACAACAATGGATGAGAATCCCGCATCCAATACACTGCTCTATCGTATGCCAGGCCGATCAACCCACAGTGAATCAGTGCTCATCCTCCCCTCAACTGCCATTTAATTTCATTTTTCATGGCACTCATTAGGTATGATCTTTAATTGTCTCGGATCCGATTCGGACTTTAATTGCTGGAACTTTTGAATATAACGGAGGGTTCAATTTTTTGAATCGAACAGAAAAAAATTAGAGATTGGGTAAGTTGAATTCTACTACCCAAATAACAATCTATGAAGAAAATCTATCAAATCTAATGTAAATTGTTGTAACTCAGAGAGACACATAAAGATAGCATGTTAAAATTAGAAAAAGATGATGATCGAGTCCAAATCGTTGGTTTCAATTGGATTAAACAGGTGATACTCAAAAGAGGGAGAAACAAAGAAAACTATCCTCTTATTTATTTGGCAGGGGACATAACAATCATGAAATCTTTATGATTTTTTCACCATAAAGTCGGAACATGAAGAAAATAATTTTCCAGATTTTATTTTTTTTTGCTGTGCTGGGCAGAGGAGGGTGGATTTTAGGAGGAGCAGCCGAGAAGTGAATAATGGAAAAGTATCAAGAGGGATAATTGTGCACTTTCACTCTAAATTTGTCTTGGATGCTAAACGTTGTTGTGGCAGAATCACTGCCCTTAAATAATAGTCAAAGAGAACAAAAGAAGAACGAAAAACAAGATTAAAGATGAATAAATCATGGGAAGGTTAGTTCCAATATTATGTCATAGAAAAAATTAATTATTTATTTCGTTGAATTAAAATAATATAATTAAATATATAATTATTTTTTTCACGTAACATAAAAGCGTACCTCATGCATACAAATACAATGTTGGTTCCTCACATTTTTTTTTTATCTAAAAAAAAACAAGAAAATCCGAGTCCCGAAACTTGTAAAAGAAAAGAATTTTTTTACAAAAATTAAAAAAAAAATGAAACAAAAAAAAAATCACCGAAATAAATCCTGATGGTTATCATTTTTTAAGCACCGGAAAGTTTTGTGAAGAAGCAACTCGAATTCAGGTAAGGGAGAAATCCTTGCATAATTTTTTTTTTTTTTTTCCGTGAAGATTGATTTTTACTGACAAATATTATCTTAGGACATACTGTTCCGGTATTTATTTTGCTCTATGGATTCTGCACGAGAAATAAACAAAACTATTAAATCCACTTTGACAGAGATCCATAGTGTTCCATACCACTCCCCTAGTCCCAAATTAATTACTAGATAATATGGATCTTATTAATTTGACTGTTTAAGTTGATAATAGTTAAAATTCCTGTTGTGGGATCAAGGGAGTATGTTTTTTTTTTTTTTTTTTTTTTTAATCTTGAGCCAAGGTCAAATGATGCAGAGCCTGCATTTGTACTCGATGGAATAACCAAAATTGAGTTCCAAAGACCAACTATCACCTCCATGTTCCAAGTTTTTTTTACAGGAGAAATTGTGCATTTTCGTTTTTAACTTACCAAAATAATAATAATAATAATAATAATAATAATAATAATAATAATAAAAATTACTAACTGTGAAAGAAACCAAAAATTTTGAGTATTGAATTACCCGCAAACATTCCAAATTTTAGAGGCCACTAAGTTGAAAGCTAACATCTTATTCAGTTAAGCTGAAGCAGAGCTGTAAGCAAACAGAAGAAAGAGTCCCCGGATATCAGTACTAAACTCTTTCCTAGCTTCATCAGCCTGCAGCCTAACAGGAAGTAGAGTCAAGATCTGCTACTTGATTAGTGAACCTTGCTCTATGTTCCGAATGGAAACCATGTCGTAGTGAACATGCCTACAGCCACAGAATATTTCTTGCTCTCTACATTTCAACATTGTCCCAATCAATGGTTTTGTCTTCGAATTCATATTCTGACTGGTGAAGCCTGTTTCGCCCCAACCTACTGATCACAGCAAGACCTGAAAAATAAAAATTTGCTTGTCAATAGTGTAGTATTTGTTGAACACAATTGTCAACAGATATCAACAAGTTCCATGGCAGCTGTTTCTCGCAACATCTATTTTTTACCAGAGAGGTTTTTCGAGCATAAAAGGGAAGAAATTATAACGGGAGATATTTTTGAACCTCACAAATCCAAAAGTGAAAAAAAAAGACAAAAAAAGAAAAAGGAAAGCAAATCTGACAAGACAAAAGTTATTCGTATAAACATTTCCATCATGACAGTAACGAAAAATGTTATTCTCCAAAACAAAAAATTCATCAAGACTATGAGAGTGTCGCACAAGGCTATGAATAAATGCCAACTTTATTAACCATAGTTTCACTTCTGATGGATTTATATGGAATCCATACCTTCAATCATTTTGTATAGAGCCGACCACCATCGATCTCTGGAAACCTGGTACTGGTCAAGGCTTTCTTCGATTTCTTTATCATGCTTCCCTTCCAAAATTCCCTGCAAAGTTAATACAGCATCCTTTGTTCTCTTAAGAATATTTTCCTCATCAATTATTTCCAATTGAACAAGGTCATTGTGTGAAGATGTGAGGGTCACTGCTAATGCAAACTGGGCAGCAGCGGCCCATCTTGAAGAGGCAAGCCATCTTCTTTGTCCATCTATCTGAGTTTCCCTCTGCGACTTGTTATCCCCTTCTCCAAAAACTAAGCTGCGCAGGTACTGAGCATTAGCAGCCCCGGTACTCTGCACCATCTTTGAAAATGCACTCTCTTCATTTTGCAACAGCTTTTCAGGTGTATCACATTCCAGGACCTAAGAGAAACAATCGAAAATTTATCATATATACCATCACAAGGATGTATATATATATATATATATATATATATATATATATATATATATATATATTTAAAATCTAAGTTTATCATTATGAAGCTTCATTACAGTCCACTTATTACTGGATTAGATCAGCTATGCATACTGATACATGGTTTATAAGTACTCTTTAACAGTGCTGGATACATACCCGTCCAGAATCAAGAAGAATAATTCGGTCACAGTCAATTATGGTATTCAAACGGTGAGCAATGATAAGCATTGTGCATGATTTGAATTCTTCCCTTATGGTCTTCTGAATAAGAGCATCAGTTCTAACATCAACAGCGGCGGTTGCTTCATCAAGTACAAGAATCTTTGACCTGCGAAGTAGTGCTCGAGCAAGACTCAGCAACTGCCTCTGCCCAACGCTGAAGTTCTCTCCTGCCTCTGAGACCTTAACACAAAAGATATTGTCAGGACAAAACTATAGAATCTCCAGGATAAACAAAATTGATTCTGGTGCAGGACATGCATGGATTGTAGTCTAATCATACACTAATTATCGTCTTCTAATGAGTGATTAAATACTTTGTTGCTCAATTGGAAAAACTCAGTCATTAAAGAAAAAATACGGTAGTATTGACATTTGTTTATTTTTGCTTTTGCTGTTGGTCTTGACGTTTATTACTATAATTAGTATTGCACATCATCCTTCAGCTTCCTTGATTATCAACATCTTACATGTTTTTTTATGCAGTAGTTATCCTTGGTAACAACAGGTAAGCTTTTATGACTCATGCTGCATAAAGGTCTAATCAATTGTGAACATCACCTTATAATTACATCTACTCTTCCGTTCATACAAGCCCTTTGTTACTTCTAAAATATCAGGAAATTATCTTACAGTCATATTTTGTAGCTGTTCTATAATAACTCCTACAAGCAGGTCACTAGTGGCGGCCAGATACAGACAGTAACTCTTCAGAGATCTGAGGCTGAATTATGTACTCCCTCCATTCCAAAATAAGTGTCGTTTTAGCAAAATGGAGAAATTCCAAAATAAATGTCGTTCTCATATTTCAATGCACTTTTTGTCAAAAGTTTCCAAAATTACCCTCAAAACAGTTGATGCTCTTGGTGGACAATTTTATAATGGGGTTGGTTGAGGATATTCAAGTAATTTTATTACCCTATTTAAGAGTTTCTTAAACTATGTGCAAAGTGTAGGACGACACTTATTTTGGAATGGAGGGAGTACCTAATGGAAAGATATAAATTTATTACAAAGCTTTGTCGCAGCGCTTAATATGTTTTCAGATCAAAAAGCAACGGCATCCTTTAAACTCTTTATTCTAGTGGGTCTCTCTCCAAGAACCTAAAACTATAGCAAGGATGGAATCTAGTAGGGAAAAAGATGAAAATTTATGGTTTGAAGAAAGATTGTTCAAACCAGTTGATAATTTATACCCAAGTCACTATTCATCACAAATACAGTTCATCGCGAAGCTATTGGACATGTCTAAGGTTCATTCCAATTAGAGAATTCATCATATAATTCTTGTTCGATGTTAGAATATTTTATATCAGTTAACATGAGGCTTCAACCTATGAAATCACCATGACTTTAATTTTGGTGAGAGAAATACTAATGTTAAGTCAGATTGTAGAACTTTACTGTTCCTCCTCATAACTCATAGCACGTACAATTTGCTCTTCAGTTACTGTTAAGTACACGTTTAAGTTCATTGCAATATAACTATTCACTGCATTGGTTGATTACTTGATGCTGTATGGCTTCCAAAAGTTCCCATTGATATGAAACTTGAGGCAGTCCTAAAAATTCTAATCGTGATCTATTATGATCTCAATCGAATGTGACTTATTTTGGAAAAGTTGGTAGATGACAAGACATAATTAACGTCAATCACAGAGAACTTGATAATGTACCTCTGCCTCCAGCCCCAGAGAGTTCCTCCGTACAACATCTTTTAGATGGGCCCTCTCCAAAGCCTCCCACAGGTCAGCATCATTGTGTTCATTGAAAGGATCAAGATTAAACCTCACAGTTCCTAAGCAAAAATAATTGACAATCAGAAAACCATCGAAAACATGGCCACTTATTAACATCAGCCAAGAAAGATAATTTTCCATCAAACATCATAATGGCCATCCAATAATAAAATGCACATGTCTTCATTAAATACATGCATAGTACCACATTTTCCATTTCTAAGCTCAAACTTAGCAATTGCATTTCAAACTGAAAAGGGAACACATAAGAACCCTCGACTCTGTAATAAATGCGTGGAAGAATTCATTTGCTCCAAGAAGAAAAAAAAAGGCCTATTAACTGAAATGGATAAATGATGCTGATTTTTCTCTACCCAACAAAAGTGCTCAGAAAAAATGTCAATTTCCACTTGTGTTAATGTTCACAAAGTGAAATAATCTAGGAGCAGCAAAATTAAGAAGAGTGTAAGTGCAGGAATCAAAAGCCAGCAAACTGCCATGCTTATCAAGTCGTTCAAAATCCAGCCTCAACTAAGCTATATAGACCAATCAAAAGTTAAGCCTGGCTTATTGCTAGCAAAACAGAAAAAAAGAAGTCAATGCAAAAATCAAGATTTACAAATTTCCTACATCCTTCCATTCTTCATTAATTTAATACGATTTCCCGATCCAAAAAAAAAGGGAGTTTCAGTTCATTGAACAGTTGCTGTTACCTGAAAACAACACCGGAGATTGTGGTATTATACCAAGAACCTTACGAAGATCTTTCAGCCCAAACTTTCCAACATCACAATCATCAACTAAGATTCTTCCTTTCTCCAGTTCCACCAGGCGAAAGAGGGCATTAATCATACTGGACTTTCCTGCTCCAGTTCTGCCAACTATTCCCACTTTATCACTAGGAGGAATTTTGAATGATATGCCATGGAGGACAGGAGGAAGTTCAGGCCTATACCGTAAGACAACCTCCTCAAACTTAATAGAACCTTCAGAAGGCCATCCAGGGGGAGGGCGGTTGCCTTCAATAATGGGCGGCGCTTCAGACGGAAGCTCGATGTACGTGCCAACTCTTTCAACAGCATTCAGACTATTTTCAGCCAGACTGGCCAATCTGAGAACCGCAGTTAACAGACTTGTAATATTTAATGCATAACTAAGAAGTAAACCCATAGTAGAAGCAAACGCCTCCTGGTTTTCAGCTCTACCATTTTGCATTACGGCGAAAGTTGCTGTAAGCCATATCATAAGCCCACCCAAAAATTCGAGACGAATCCCGAGCCAGCGGTTCCCGCTCATGTTTACAAGAGTAAATCGAATATTGTTGTCCATTGATTTACCATTAATATTTGCCATTCTATCATAAGCTTTGTATGCACGGATTGTTGACAAACCATTAAGTGCTTCCCCGAATTGTGCATAAACAGGAGATCTGCTCACAGAATCTAGGCGCTTCACTTCACGGGCCGTGCTCTGCAAGGAACAATCGATATGATAGCACTGTCAGGTGAAAATTCATGTCGAGAAACTAATCATTTCAGCATCTCTTTTGAAATAGTTTCTAACTGTCTCACTGAGCTGAGGCCCAATCAGCAGTTTCGTATGTGAATAGAACCCTTTCAGCTGAACCACTACACATTTGTCTCACTTGCATTAATGGCAGTCAACTATTTACACTACAATTTTTTATTTTATAAACTCTATAAGTTCCACTCACAGTTGTTTCATTATTCTTCAAGCATTTTTCAAAATGAGACACTGGATTATCTATAATTCACGTGTAACAAAGGTTAAGAAACAGCGAAATAACTCAAGTTCCCAGAAAGTTTGCAGAGATATTGTTGTGAACCATCAACTACTATAATGGGAAATTCATAAGCGTCAATAATAGGAAATGTCTCCTGGTTTTGCTCATGGAATCTAATTGAATCACAAAGCAACGATAGAGGCCATAATTGCAATCTAGATTCATAGAAGATGAACAACCAATTTCTATCTCAAAGAAACAAAACAGATTTAAAACAGTATATGGGCCAAATAATTGCATTTTACATCTGCATATCAGGCTGTATTTCTCATTGCAATTGCTTGCAGTGAACCAAAAACATATCTCCCTTCACCATACATTTTCAATCGGCCATACCAATTATTGGGTTCATTGACTTGTGACAGGAAAAAATGCTGCAGCAATTTACGTACCTGGTAATATAGATAGGCTATGTAGAACAGCACCAGAAGAGGCATGATGGCCCACAAGGACATGGTGCTCACAATCCCAATAAGTATAAAAGTTGAAATCAGCTGCGCAACTTGCCCAAGAAACATATTAACAAATGGGGCAACATTCCGATCTATGTCACCAAGATCCTTAGCAAATCTGTTAATTATCCTTCCAAGTGGATTTGTGTGGAAGAAGAGCATCGGAGCTCTCAGAATAGAGTTTAGCATAGCCTCATGCAACCTTCTAGCAGCATAAAGACTTGATGTGATCAACCAAAATGAATTTGCCAGAGTCACACATACCTAATTGCAAAAAAAAAAAAAAAACAAAAACAAAAACACATATGATTATTAGACTGAATTCTTATCACAATTCTCCTGACCATGAAACAGAAGTGTATAAAACTATAACATATTTTGCTTACTTGGCCAAGTGATAGGAGAGAATAGACCAAATTATAGAACAACGGCCCATATGCTGCTTGAGAAGAACTCTGGTCAGTCCAATAACTTAGCCATGTGCTACTTGAAATACGAAGGACTTCAGTTAATACATAGCACGAAAACAATATCATAACCACCCATGTGCCACCCAAAGCATCCTTGTATCTGTAAGGAAAAAAGGGGAAAGGAATTAAAACGAAAAATGTACCATACAATAATACACCAAGACCTCCTGGCTCCAAATTAAATTATAGCATTACACATATACAAGCACCAGCAATTACACGAAGTTTGAGTGATGCATTTCTAGAAGCAAATATCAGAAATCAGTGTTACTAACAGCAATCTGATGTAACAAAATCCAAAAAAACCAGCTTCTCCAAGGGAAACCTGGTCATTGACATAGACCTTTGAGACAAACAAAATACAATGGAAAATGAAAACTTTACATACAGAAAAAACATCTGTAGAAGATCCAAGTGCACATGTATTAGACCACAAAAAGATTTTTCAGGAGGAAGCATGGGATATTGTTGTTTGAAACTGTCTCAAAAGATCAAACATTACCAGCACTTGGCAAGAGCATAAACAGCATCACTCAGAAAATGAGGAACTGTAAAAATTACGACCACTAGGTTTTCTAGGGTAATGAGACAAGATTCCATATTCGTGATGATATAAATAATTCATGAGTTAAGAAACAACTAATGAGCTTCAATCGTCGAAATAAAGTTCACAAGTTATCTACCTTTTCAACACTTTTGAACTAACAACACCCGTTTCTCTTTCTTCCTGCTTAATAAGAACAGATTTTCCTTCCTTTTGTTTATTTGCGGTGTTGGGATCCTTGCCCAAGCCATTAGTCTCACCATTGGCAGAAACCTTTGAACTTTTATCATCAGTATTTTCATCCTTTTCTTCAACATATTCTTCCATTTTCCCTGCATTTTCCATTAGCTTTTGGAATAGTGGGCCATTATTTGTAAGTTCCTCAAAAGTTCCTTCTTCTTTTACCATGCCATCGTGCACCAGAATAATTTTATCCACTTCTGAAAGGAAATGAAGCTGATTTGTCACAAGAACCCTTGTTTTTCCTCTGAGTTCCCCCTTGATGCATCTTTCAAAGACCTAATGTAATGGAGAAGAATTTTTATGCATCTGAAACTCAATAAAATTGAGATAGCAGTTCAAAGAGTTAACTAAGTAATCATAAATATTTCTTGATAAAAGGAAGAGGCAAAATAATGGAAGTAGCTGTATATAGTTGTCTAAAAGCCCAACATATTAGAAGAACACCCCCCAAAAAAAGGGAACATTCTAACTTCAACCAAAACTGTCTGATGTTCAAAGATCACAAGGAAAAAAAAAACATTGCATGATAAAAAGAAAGATTCACGCACTGGTAGAGCCAAAGAGTATGCATGGTACAGGAGAGCAACAAAATACAACAGATTGCTTCTCAATTAAGACAATAACACAAAGTAATAACACCTATACAGCGCAGCTCCTGTTCTAGGCAAATAAAAATATAATTACCTGTCGACCAACATGAGCATCTAGAGCACTTAAGGGGTCATCAAATACAAAGACATCAGAATCTGAATACACAGCCCGAGCCAGAGAAACTCTTTGCTTTTGTCCCCCACTAATGTTAACCCCTCTTTCACCAATTTCAGTGAGATCACCACCCTAGAGCACAAGAAAGTGAGATGTCAAAAAATTTGGATAACTGAATAAAGTAAAAACTGGCAAGGGAATTATGCACTTACAGGGAGCAAGTCTAGGTCATGCCGCAGTGAAGTCACGTCTATTGCTCTTTCATATTTGTTAGGTTCAAAGGCAGATCCAAACAGTATGTTGTCCCGTACCTGTAAAATGAAATATACATTTATTAATTTTACATAAAAGAATAACAAGCCTTGAGACTTGCAGCCCAACTAAATTTTCAGCAAATATCTTCAACATTTTAATCACGATTTCAAAAAGAACTGTAAATCAATCTAACAATATCATACTTAATCACATAAATAAGGTCATAGAAGAAATTTAGGTGAGATTTCCTTACTGTTGCATTGAATATCCATGAAACTTGGGGAACATATGCAACTGTCCCTCTAATATCTACAGAAGTGGCATCGGAAACCGGAGGAAGCTCTCCAAGCATTGCTGACACAAGTGACGTTTTTCCCTCCCCGGTGCCGCCAACAACTGCTACCAATTTACCAATTGGTACTTCCAAGTTGATGTTCGACAAAGTAGGTCTCTCTGACTGGTACCGGCAGAGGTAGATCATCAGTTCCAGAATGACAGAAACTTCGCAGGAAAGTACCGACCAATATGATAACGAGCGACAATAGGAAGATAGCATAAAACTCTCCAAACTTATATTTATTATGCTCCAACAAAAGAATATTAATGTATAGCCTTCAACCCTAATAGACAAAATAACAATTTTGCTGAACGTAATAAAACGTCCCTGTTCAACTGGGGAATACTCAAGGGATTGAAATAATCATCTTGGTGGAAAATATAATCATACTTCGGAGCTGTAATAAAACGTCCCTGTTCAACTGGGGAGTAACTCAAGGGATTGAAATAATCATCTTGGTGGAAAATATAATCATACTTCGGGGCTGTTATAATCTAATAGTCCCAGTGGCTTTAGGTATTTTGGACTGTCACTCATAATGGCAGCTGCATCATTCAAAATTGTACTTTACAGTTCACAGCTATAATAGTTTGCTTAAAAGTAACAACATTTTTCATGATTAACAGTCTATTTAAATTATCCAGTTACACTACTTAACAAGATCTCCAACATTCACAGACATGACTCTAGATTTAATGACTCTGTTTTCTGTAGAATATTCCTCAATTTGTCAAACTCAGGCAAATTTTCCACCTAAAAACTCTTGCTCAACTCCTCTTTATTCTCCAGAAAACATTAACCCACTTGGATGAATCAACCACACCCCACCAGAAACAACACACTTATCAAACATGTATCTCTGGAACCAATTTGACAAACAACAAAGACAGACTTCTCCAATCTTACAGCATTTTACCTCTAAGAAAACCTCCTTAACCACAAAACAGGCCTACATAGGCGAACCAAAACTTAACTTGGAATGGCTACAGCAACAGATTGCTTATCCTGTTCAATTAGCCACCACAATGACAATGTGTATAACTCATGCAAAAGCTGGTATATGCGCTTTTGTGCACGTCTTTGTAATCTTGCAAAGCTTTGAGCAGTTTTCTTAATTAAAGGTGTAGGGCTTTCTAACTTCAAGTTTGTAGAGGTTCCTTTTGCAATGGTAACTAACAAACACTACCATAAGAAACATTCACTTGAAGGAATCACTTCCTAGGAAACAGTAATATTTTACGCCATGACATTAAGTCAATGTCATGTTATTCACAATTTAAACAATCTATAGATGGCGTGTTGTATTTCAAATAATTGCAAACTTATTTTAAGATCTTGTCAGGACCTAATGAATTAGTAGTAGCTGTCAATTGCTAACAAACTGCCCTGAGCAAATTGAAGACTTTCACAATAAATGAATCTTGCTCAAATGAAAAACTAGCTAATATCCACTCTTCAAAACCTATGGGAACTAAGACTCAAATAAACACACACAACAAAAGAATAAAGAAAAAAACCTTTGATTCCCAGGAGAAGTATCCATTCTTTATCGAGACAGCTGGAGCCCCTGGTTCAAGAGGTGGGTTAGGTACAAGAATTCTTTCTTCTGCAAGCAGAAGTTCCTCCAAACGCTTCAATGACACATTTGCATTCACAACCTATAGAACAGGAAAAACTAATGATTAAAAAATGAACAATCTTCAGCATTAAATCCACATGATGAGTAACCAACCATTACTAACAGTTTCGTAGAACCAGCAAGGCCAGCACTAAGTAGAATAACATGGAGTTCAATAGTTTTGAAGTTAATTTATATTCATCTCTGCCAAGTGACACATTGGACAGGAGATTCAAAACCTTAGCCATTAATCAAGTGTATATTCAGATTCCTTTTAACCATTTCAACAAATTCCAGCTAAGACAAATACGTTTAAATTCCATCCAGTCAAGCACAAATGATCGTTCATAAAAACTTTCTGAACTTCAAGGAAAGTGATGACAGATATCACCATAGGGAAGAGCATACAACAATGTCCACCTTCCTTGGGGGAAAGATCATTCTTTCAAATAATAAGCAGAAAGAACTATATCAATCCACCAGCATATCACAAACTAGTAATACAGGTTGAAACCAGGAGCATTAATTAAAAAACAAAATGGAAGCACAATAGAATAATCAAATCTGTTAAAACCCACAAAAAGTAACATTACAGCATAACAAAAAATGAGGGAAACTAATACAGGGAGAAGTAACATGTTTTTCTACTCCTAGAAAGGGCCATCAGTAACAATTTAGCAATATGATACCATGAACATATAGGTAGAAACGGAACCTGTGTAATTATATTTGGAAGCATGAAGAGCGGAAACCGCAGCACAGCAAACAAAGAAAGAGATGTAAATGCCCTTGCAGGTGTCAGATCCCCTCCTAGCAAAGTGAACATTCCAAATGATGTCACTATCACCACCACAGGAATACTATTCAGTATAAAACTGTTCATCTGCATAAAGGCAAACCAATGGTGAAACAAAGAACATAAGAAATAGATGATAAATCTGCTTGAAACTAGGAAAGATGCAAAATGCGTAAGATTAAAACCCCTATCTATCTTTCTGTAGGCACTGATGAGTTGTGAAATGCAGGTAAAGTTGAGGCAACTTAGTCGAGCACCAAGCTTGTTAATCACCAATCAGGTCATACAGATTCTCAACAGCAAATGGAAACTCTAATATGGCTAAAGCTTCAGATGCCACTTCGGACAAATAAGATAAATAATTTATTATTGTTCTTCGTCAACAAAACAGAGGGATTCAGAGCCTAAAAAGATAAGGATGAAGACACTACCTATTGAAATGCCTATACACAGCTAAAAAAAACAGATTATGACACAAAAAAGAGGAAGTACATCTCCAAAGATGCCTGTGCACAATGTGATTCAATAGCTCCTAAGAAGAGCATCTGTTGATCTCTCTGTTTTCTAGCTGCAATCTTGTGCTGCCGTTATTTTGCTACTTTAAATTATAGATGACATTGTCTAAAAGGAGATGCAGAATCAATAATAAAATAAAGCAATGAAGACTTTCTCTCGGAAACTATTTTCAAAATTCAAATTGGGCAGTTTATTAAGATTGATGCACAGGTTTCCTACAATAGTAAGACAGCATTTATTGCCTCCTCCTAATATGATCAAACTATACAGACTACTAGTAAAACTCACAGGTCATGTACTGCCTACAAAATTTTTAGTGTGATAGTCAAACATTGTTTTTGCATTGTTTTTCAATGGGATATTGCACAATGAGCCATCATCTCACTCGCTACAAACTTCAGTGACACTTTATCTTTGTTGGTCAAGTCAAAAACTCAAGATCAGTTCAACTCACACATAGTGGTCTTATATTGGACTTGATCTGAATCCAAATGGAGATGATCTTTTAATGCTTGATCAGGGACTAATTTTAAATGAACCAAGTAAATGTTCTTACTATATTGGGCTTGATTGTTTATGGTAGCCTGTACAAAACATTAATGGTTGCTTCATTCTAAGGTTCAGATTTCTAATATTGGTTTATAGATGAACAAATGTACTTCTGAAAAAAATCATAAAACTAAATCATAGATACTTCTTTACAGTAGAATTCTTTTCATAATTGAAAAACTTCTACGTACCGCTCCCAGCAATTGTGCACTTCGAAACCAAGACAGCTCATCATTTCGAACATTTTGAACCTTTGATTGGAAACTCTCCTCCCAAGCATAGCATCTGAACCATTTTTCATATTAAAAGTACAGCTGTTAATTGTTAAATACAGCTTGGACAAGTAAATCTCCATTACTTATAGAAGGCAACATACTTGACGGTATCCATAGCAGCCAAAACCTCATTCATGAGTCCAATTCTCTTGTCTGTGCGCTGCAAGCCTTCTTTTTGTAATTTCTGCATCTTGCTTATCACAAATGTCTGTAGCGAAAAAACAAAGGAATATCATTTGCTAGACAAAGGACCATAGCAAACACTAGGACATAGATACGCAAGTGATTCAGACAAGCAAATATTGTCAAGAATATATCAATCTAGCGGATCTATTAAATCCTGATTGAAATACAGGTCTTAATTCCTTTGGTAAGAGCTTTTTTGATGGATAAGGTGCAAATGGTTTCATAAAGCAGACAGGGAATTGACATGACATTCAACATTAGTCTGATTGAAATGACAAATGACAAATGACAAATGACAATAGGACTGTAATGGCACACCGCCTGTATGATTTTAGTATCACAAAAACAAAAGAAAGATGGCAGCGGAAAGAAGTTCTATACCTGAATAGGAAACATCAGAACAAGCAAAAGAGCCCCCAGAAGAGAAGCAACACCCAGTTGCTGGTACAGAAGGACCAGGGCAATGACAATACGGAAAGGAGCAGACCACAAAGTGTGAAGTGATTGGCATATTTGCTGAGAAAAACAACGACGGTTTTACTTATTAATATCAACCAGAAACTAATGAAGAGATAGTTGCACACGATATCTGAGCACACTAAAAATTGTTGAAAGAGTACGAATATCATTTAGCACTTAGCACATCAGTACCCAACTTCATCAGAAAACTGCCAAGAAACGCCCGAAATTTCCCATGCAACAAAAATTAAAAATTAATCTTTGACTCTTAATCAAGAGCTATTCCAGCCGGGATAATATCCATGTTTCTCATTCAAGGACCTCAGAAAGACAAAAATACATGCACTTTTTGAAGTAACAAATGATTCATGCTCAAAAATGAACTGCTGGGCTACTATATTTCATACACAAAACTAAGCATATAATTGTAAAAATTTTAACTGATCACAAGACACTCAATTCATATCCTTCAGGAAGAAAAGAGATTAAGTTTGTTCCTTCATTAAAGGCAGCTTATAGAAAAAATCAAATTGCATTACAACATTATAGTAACCAAAAACATTTGTGAATTTATGAGAGAAGAATCATTCCAAACTTGATTGTCAAACAGTGAAGCAGACCAAACACAATTTCCTTTGCCAAGTGGTCACTAAGATATAGCAAATGTAGGACTAGCTGATTCCATTCCCGTTGGATAGAAAACAGAAACCACATCATTAGAATAATAATACGTTGTCATGCCTGAAGTGCTTCAGCATCCGTAGTCATCAGATTAGTTATTTTCCCAGTTGCAAACTTTCTCCGACTCTCATGAGTTAGTCTAAGAGACTTCCGGAAAACTGCAGCAACCTAAAATACAAGTTAAAAGGAGAGAGTTTGAGATCTGTGGCAATGCTAGTAAATTGATGAAGTTCACGAGAACGATTTAAAGGTCAAGAATATCATTCTGATAACAGCTGACACAAACCAATTACAGAAGCCTTTGAAACAAGGAAAGACGTTAATAGAGTTTATCTTACAAGAGTTGATCTGAGACGAAAACCAACGCGCATTACATTTTGGAAGTATTGGGCTTCACATAATACTCCAAATACCTAAGCCAATAAACACAAGATATCAGCCACTAACAACAAAAATAAGGAAAGTAACAATAGTGATAATATTTGGAAATGAATGAAAGCAATAAACAAACAACTTAAGATGATTACAACATTAAAATATTTCTTAATTACATACGCAACCCCTACAAAGGAATGAACCAAAGAAAACTCTTGCAAGGTAGACAAAGCTGTAAACATCAAACAAGTCGTAAACATTAAAATAGTTTTCAAGAATTAGATCATGAATGTGAAATGCCAAAATAGGATGATGATTGAAAAGCATAAAACTGGCGACCTACCACTCCAACAAAAATTGAGAATGCATATATGTAACCAATCCAAGCCGGGTCACCTTGTTGCATAGACTGCAAAATTACACGATGTAAGTGAGAAAGATACGAAACCAAAGTTAATGATAGAAAACCATCATACATCTCAAACAAATTACTTCAGCAAAATGATGAGACTACAAATATTGATAGAATAAGGATATCCTAGATGATTACACTTGGTAAAATGGGTTTGTCCAAAAACAATTAGCATTTAAACAATAATAATAAATAAAATCCACAATCCACATAAATATTACATGATTCGTGAATAAGTAGGACTATTCCAGAGAGCCATCAGATAGCACAAATGCGATAACGAATCAGGGCTGCACAAAACATCCAAAAAAGCTTCTCAAATATGCAGAATTTGAAGTAGTAACTTGTGGTCAACCTTGATAGGCAAGGGATACCGGCATCTAGCTTTAAGATTTTCGAACACTAGGTTCATCCCTTGCTTTTTGTAAAAAAAAGTTCTATTGCCCAAGCAAAAATCAAAACCTTTAGCGTCATGGTAAAAGCAATTGCACAACATAAACATACCAAATAAACCCTCGACCTCAGGTTTTCTTTAAGTTCGGTTGCATACTGATTCCCATGTAAAAGAAAGTTACCAATACTAGCACCAAAGATGAAGATACTATTCCTGAATATTATATTATTCATTTAAGGCCTGAAAAGTCATTTTGAGTAGCTCAAAATTATTGTTGGAGGAAAAATAATAACGTCCGCCTTACCTTTAAAAGCTGATTCAATATCATAGGCCCAATGAACTGGGACAAATCATTACCAATCTGCAATATGTTCAAAGAAACGAAATTTAGGTGGCCGATAACATTCAAGGGAAAACTCAAAATAAACTTCAATGACATTTTCCCACAAATAAAGATCATATAAACATTCTATTGATCGAAGAATGCTAACAACTAATAGACTCTAGAATATCCAGACCCATGTAAAAAAAAAGTGAAAATCATATGAATTCATTCCACAATTAATCCAGTTGCATTTACAAGGATATTCTCCTAAGAATAAGGAAGAGAGTGACGCATTACAACCGCATAATAAACAGGGTCAAATGCATCAAATACATACTCTAAACCATATGAAATTCGAATGAATAGACAACCAAAATTATCAACTTGTTAGAACCACAAAATTAAAAAGGCCAGGTTAACCTATTACTGCTAACAGGTTAATCTGGCAAGCATGATGTGGTGCAATCTTAAACTTAAAACTAAATTAAAATATTAGTTAACTACCTTCCAAAAGCCGCCCCACCAGAATCTGCAGCAAATAAAGGATCAAATCTGTAAGTAATCAAGAGATAGTTAAAATGGTACAGGACTCGAGCTATCAAAATTTTTTAAAATAATCTACACAGAGACAACCATAAATAAAATAAAATAAAATAAAACTTCAATTAAATGCACACCTTCCACCAAGGGCACGATTTAGGGCTCTTAATAGCCATGGTTTAGGTTTTCGAGACTCTTCAACCCAACACTTCTGGAACCTGAACCCATTAAAATATTGGCAACAGGCATTACTCAATATTTCCAAAGAAAAAATGTAGAATGCACTTATAAAATCAGGAGAGCCACGCACGTGTTATTGAGTGTTTCAGTCCTGTCCCACGTATCCAGCTTCCATACATCCTTCTCCGTAAGAGGCCTTCTGTAACCAAGTTGCATTAGGGGATTCACCCACGCAAAAGTAATCTCTGTGTCAAATAAAAATCAGGGTTATTTCACAAGCACATGGATAAACAGTGTAGCAAACTATACAGAACAAATGCAAACCAAAAATGGAAAAGGAGAAAGATAATCACATTACAAAAAGCCCAAAGATTGAAAATGGACCAAAAGCTAGCTAAACGATTATGCACTCCAAACCCCCCGAAAAAGAATAATAATGGTAAGCTACCCCTCAAGCTTTTGTGGCACTTCGTCATTTATGCCACTTCTACTTCTATGGATTATTAAAATCATTAACGGCACACAAAGCGGTTTCATACTGACAAATTTGATGAGTATCGCATAAGTGTGCAGCATGCTCTCATTTCTATGACGTTAATTATTGTATAGCTACTGTTTGCTAAGCTGATAAGCCAAAAGGCTTTCAGCTTTCCCTTAGAATCAACCATCACTCAATAACATAAAGAAAAATACCAACAAGGCAACAACAAAACCAATGCATTTAAGGACTTGCTTCTGCAGACCAGTATCAACCTCAACATACCCAGTAAATCCAGGGGGAGGAGGGGAGAACAAATAAAAGAGGAAGAGATTCTTCCTGAAAATTTGCTATACTGGTAAACTTGAATTAAGTAGAAGTTCAAAAAACACAAAGCATCCGCAGACAGTCGGTAACATGTATTACTCACTAGAAAATATGTTGGTATGCCTCTCAGGACAGATCTCCTCTCCACCAGGAAGTTCTTCGTAAGCAGCGTCATCTCCTGATTCAGTTTGCATAGGAACATAACCAGGGTACGGTTCCAAACCCGGTATGTAAAAGATTAACAGCACTCCAAACAAAACCTACGAAACCATGTAAGATTTTCCAATAAGTTCCAACAACAGCAAGCGCAAAAATGGGCAAGCACACTAAGCCACTGCCACTGCTCTGGTTCAAATCAAATTTGTTGCCTATACGTAAACTCACTCGTTTCATTTTAAAGATACAGCCAAGTATGAAGATTGATACTGTTGTCAGGATCGAAGCACTCTTTCAATTAAACGCTTTTGCACGAGCCAGAAAAAACCAAATGAAGAAAGAGCACGGCAAGAGAACTCACCAAACCAGTCCAGGGAAAGACAACTTCTGAAGTTAGTTTCTTTTTTTGAGTGTCTCATTCTACTTAGACAAAATTAAATTCAAAACCTCTCCAGATGCATACAACCCAACAAATTTTAATACAGAATCGTACACACGTTAAAAGTGTGCCAACTGTCACATGAAATCTACATATTAATAACACTCTTGATGCTAACTAAAAAGGAAATACATCTCAAATTGAACATTTAACAGTTTCAATTGGACAGAAGGGCGTCTTGTTTGTCAATTTTTCTTTGATATGAGGGAGACGCAAGTCTTCCTAGGTGACATGTAGCAAATGGACATTTTTTCACTAATTCCAATGAAATCATCCCCTTGTAAGTAGACTAAACTAACATACAAAAATTCACATGTTAATTTTATTGATACAAGTTCGACACTAACGAAACTTAATCCCCTATTATATGAATCTATATTCGTGCGGTACTAATTAAATAGATTGTCCCCATTAACATGTAATATTTGGACAAATCTCATAAGTTCGGACAAGATCCCAGCTTTTCTAACTTTGCCAAGTCTTGCAAATTATTGTTTTTCTTTAATCTTTTTGCGGTATGATTTTATCGGCCCTAATTTCAAGTCATAATATAGTTACATGTAAATAAATGCATAAAAGAAATCAGCAAACAGTACAAGTTTTCTTCATAAACTCAAATTGCAGTTCCAGGTTAGAGCGCTTTCTTATAAACTCGAATTGCAGTTCCAGGTTAGAGCTTAGATGAGACAGCTGCAGAGACTTCTTAGAAAAGAAAACTAACTGTTTTGCTAAAGTATGAGACTCATATTTATCTTAGTTCCACAACTGGTAATATCTGATGGACTATAATCAGAACGTCAACTTACAAAAAATAGAAGAAATGGAATAAGATTCCTGACCAACCTGAACAACCACCTCACTGATATATAGATAAAGAACAGATCTGCAGAGTAATAGAAAATAACATGTTAGTTTACAATGCGAACCACTTTTCATTATGAACAGACTATATTACTTTAAGCTTTTAAAACAACATAAATTAATTCTAAACACAACTATCACCAGTTGATATTACATATTTTCACTTCGGAACAAGTGTACAGAAAATGAAGCAAAGAAGCAACTTAAGGAACATAGGTAAAAGAGCAGCCATCTGGATCACTAAAAAGAATGTGCACAAGAGAAGCTCAGTGTATGCTTTTCCAAAAATAAGCTTTCATCAAGATTACATAAGATCATAAGCACTAACCAAAGAAATATGATTTTCCTTATAAAGATGTTTTCCATTATTGTGTATTTATCAGCTAAATGAGTAAAGAAAAGTAGAATGTGAGGTGGAGTTCTCATTCTTTTACATGGAGACCCAACCCATTCATACTTGCACTGAAACTCTTAGCTAGAAGATGAGGATTCACTCTCTGCATAGCCTCAAGTCAGGTAAGATAATTTCACATCCTACCAGACGTCTCCAAGTTCAGTAGCCATCAGCCTTACTTTCTCAACTAACTTGGATTTCTGCAATACGCAAGTAAAGGAAATGCTTCTCTAGTCTGAGACATGCCGAATAGGTACCTAGACGTATATTAGCCTAACTCTCAAAAGCTAGAGAATAACTTTTATAATAAAGAAATGACAACAGACACAATGACAAGGCAAAATAAGAAATAGCCAAGGATGGTTTGCATGAAAAAGCACGCAAGTTCCAGCAAAACAAAAACAGTTTTAAATTGGAAAGTACATAAATGACAGCTTATGCTTTCGGTCATAATTTGCGAAAGATGGGAATTACTAAAATTCCAAAGAGAGCATTTTTCAAGGAAGTAACCCAAACGAGGGGGTAATTTTGTACTAATGAAAATTTAAGAATCCTACTGGAGGACAGATAGGAAAGCAGACCTTAAATCACATAAAGGTCGTTTGTTTATTACATACATGTTGCATTTCTTGGGCTTTTGTAATATGAATACCAAAATTTCTGCACTCTTAATGGATCACAAACTTCTTCAACGATAGGGGCCAGGCCGGAATACAAAGGTATTAACAGACACAGCAATTCTGAGGAAACTGCATCAGGTCATTTCATGTTATAAAGTTTTCCAACATTTTTGGTTCATTGGTTCCCTAGCAACTTTTATTTGCCATACTTCTTTTAATTTATTATTCCTTACATTTTCAGTCCCTTCATTCAGTGAACAGAAACATCTGTTTATAACACAATTTGAACTTATTTAATTTAAATCTTTGGGTGTTGTTGTTGTGGGGGGTGGGGGGGGAGAGGGGAGAGATGATGGGGATGTTGTTTTGTGCTGTTGGGGGTTTGAGAGGGAAATGATTGGTAATGGGACTGTAACCTTAAGTTCCTGAGTTTAAACATAGGGAAACTACAATCCAAAGAAGGGAGCAAAAAGAAAAGGAAAAAATAAAGTTAAGTTAGGAAAATTCTTTTCCCTGGAACTCTTAATGTTTATCCTTCCTCATGATTAGCAGAAATTTAAGACTCCTCCCAGAGCTAGTTACTTATTCCTCTTTTGGTCTAGCAGTAACAAATGACATCTAGAGTAAAGTGTTGCTTCTCAACAAAGCATAAAATGCTACTGGCAGACAATTATCCACACTCCCCCCACCCCCAACAGGCAACCCCTACACTCAAGTAGAGTGATTTTGGTCTCAAAACTATCAGCAAGAAAGAGAAGCAATATTTCTTCCCAATTGAGAGGAAACTCATTGAAACTATGTTAGAAACAATTGAAAGTTATTCCGTGCAAGGGATATCATATAATATTTTCAATTATTTTCCTAAACAAAACCCTAACAAACACAATAACACACACATTTGTAACCATAGCTATTAAATTGTAGTGCCAATTTAAGGGAAAACTAATGACAAGGACAAAACTAGAAAACTTTGTCATGAGCAGAAGACCAACAATAGGTCAGAAGGAGAAATATCAAATAAAAAAGAACTAACTGGTCATAGAGTTCCCGGACACCAAGGGCAAGATTGAGCATCACAGAATCACCAATTAAAGCATAAATGACCCCGAATCTCACAAACCATCGGAACTCTCGAACATAGACTTTAGTCTCCACACCAATCATCACCAGCATAGAGAACCACGTAAGAGCCTCAATAATTAGTGAAACAATCTGCAAGAATAGTAGGACGAGACACGATCACAAAGACAGATAAGAGACAACAATCATGGTAAAGCAATCAATAGGGCCAACATAAAACAAGTTATTAAATAGAATTTGTTTGGAAGATTAATGATATATATTGAAAATACTTAATGACCACTAGCCTAAGCCTACAATTAGCTTCTTATAAACTCAGTCGAAATTTGAAAACCACAATAACCTGTACCTC